TACTATCTAACGTACTTTTCACGCTTCGAGAGTTACTCGTAACGTGAAAAAAGCCAAAGAAAAAGAAGAAGAAGAGGAGGAAAAAGAAGAAGAATAAGTTCCAAATCGAGGCTCGAAGAGAGATACTCAATCTCAATCCACAAGATAGCCCCATAGCGTATATATTTAAACTAGAAGCCAAGATCATATCGGTCCGAGCGTGTCTAGGCTCCGCAAGTCCGTATAGGAATTATTCATTTGGCTGATTAGATATTTCAAGATTTTCTGCTTGGATCATCGCGTACGTTTATTTGCTCGCGTGCGTACATTAAAAACGAAAAGGCCCATTATTGCACGATCGTGTAGTACGTCGAGGCTCTCTTTGTGCGATTCCGGAGTCACATTTTGTCAAAGTGTACAAGACGGAGCGCGCGTACGAGCGAGAAAGTAAGAAAAAAAAAACGTCCGGAAGTTTGAAGCTGCTATTGCTTTATAAAGACGGAGAATATTTAGATGTTAGTCATGCCCGGTAGCAGCAAAGCCGAGTCGTTTCAAAGCCTCGCGTGCGTTTGAAAACTGTAAATTGACGCGCCGAGAGGTTCCGTACGTGTGTTTCTTCTTTGCATGAGTAAGACTCCGAGCGAGTCGAGACTCTGTACGAGGATTCGCGCTGACGTCTCGACAATTTCAATTTTGTTGTTCGCCAAATTGCACTCGAAAGCTCGCTTCTAATTATCCTTTTAACGATCGTCACGAGCATAAGACTATTTTACAAGCTTCTATTCGGCAAAAAGATACGCTTTGATCGAATTCGCGAGAGCGAAATTGCGTTGTAGCTAAATCGAGATCTTCCACGATCGAAGTAAAAGAAGACGCGAAATCCAAGGGGCTCGGGCTCGAAGGGGGTTCCGCGAGCAATTCGGGAAGTAAGCGATCGTTCTAATAATACAATGCAGTAGACGCGCGCCTATATACATCGAAGAAAGAAGTGCTCGCGTGCTAAGAAGTGGCCGAGCGATGTGTGTGTATACAACGATATTTCTGAAGAAAAAGCAAAAAAAAAGAGGCAAGAAAATACGCGATAATATTATACAGTGGGATGGAGTCGGAAGACGGCGCCGATTGACGAATCGTATACACAGGCATCGGCCGCGTCTCGAGACTCGACTGATGAACGAGGCGCATCTGTATGTCTATATATACCTTAGCCGCAGTGTACGAAAAATGTGCCAATGTCGACGATGACGGCAAAGTCGCGCATCGGCAATTCGGATCCGTTCGGCTAGGCCGCACCCGCAACTCGCGACTTACTCTCACATTATATAGGACGATGTGTATTGTAAATCCTCGATTGCCGAGTCTCGAGTTCCGCTTTGATTGTTTCAACGGCCTGTCTTAATAGACTTTGTGCGCGCCGCCACCGCCTGCATGTGTGCATATACATTATCTCGAAGGGACTCGAGCTCGAGCTCGCTCGATCCTCTTGAGATCCCAACCGATCCCGACCAATGCTCTGTGCACAAGATTGCAACGAGATTCGCGACTTAATCGAATAAACGCTTGCAGCGGCTCTTTGTCTAAATGTACGTTCTCCTTTCTTCGTAGGCTGCGTATCCACAACTATTTTTGTACTTCAAGTGCACTCGAGCGTAATGAGTAAAAGATAGCCGATGCCGAGTCATGCAGCCATAATACAGCTCTGTATATTATACGAAGCGAGCAAGCTTGCAGCGCGTGGATCGGCGCGCGGTCTAACGTACAAATTCAAAAATCACAGCGGCGCAGCAGCTACGGCCAATGCGTACGCTTCGGCGCAGCCAGTAGTAGCGAAGTTTCCGAGGCCTCGAGTAGTTTAAAAGTCGCGTGACGCTTCGTATAGAGCCAGAGAGAGAAAGAGAGAGAGAAGTTGGGACTGCGCGCGCACACACACACCCATGCCTGTGTAAATACAACAAATATAATACGACGCTATACGGCTTGGAGTAAAATTTAAATACCCACACGCAGCAATTACATATAGGCGATCCCGGCCGTATCTCTGCTGTGTGCTATGCCGCACGCGGTATTTCGCATAATAATACGATGCGTCGCTTCTGCAAAAAAAAAAACTTGGGCCTTTCGCTGCTGTATACAAGCTCGGCCGAGCGCGGAGGCGTTGGATGACGACGTATGATCATTGTTGCGAAAGCCATAACGTGCAGGCTTTGACCGGTCGCTCGCGTACTCCCGGTAAATCGTGTTCTCGCCTTTTTCCTCCTTATTCAACTTTTTCACGCGACAGTTCATATACACCGTGGCTATTTCGTATCATTGAAATAATATTCGACAATTTCAATAGCTATGGTTCGGCTTCAGTTTTATTTCCATTGTTTTTTTTCTTCTAGCTGACAGGAAGCACAGCCACGGCGCACGATGATACACAAACACACACACGTGCACAGATAGATGGATCGAAGATTATTTTTAGATCTAACTCTTTTTATTAAAATTTAAATTCACCGACAATTTTCACTTGTCTACTGACGCTCGTAAAATAATTAATACAGAGAAGGATGCTCCTGATCGTAGTCTTGAGACGAAAGAGTCTCGTTTTACTCTAAATGGGAAATTCAGAAGATAAAACCTATCTATAGCAGCAAATCGGGATTATTTAGGAGTCGATCGTACATTATTTAGCGCCTGAAAACTCACCTTACGATAAGTTAACTTATCTCAATATTGATACGGCTGGAATTTGAGCAGTGCCTCTAAACGAATATACATTACACACAGGCTTGCCTACCTATAACGCCTACCTGCTCCAGTCAACTTGCGTGTATATTTTTATCGCGTCCAAATATTTACACGTGCTCCGGCGCCGCATACATACGCACATATGTAGACGCATATTATACGGCACCCACAGGGCGCGTAAGGTGGATCGACGCTTATACGAAGTGTACTTAGCCCTTCGTACGAGAATCGGCGCACGAAGGTCGAGAAATGTCGATCGGGGCGGTATACCTGCTGCTCGTGGTCGACCCAGTTCGCGCGAGCAGTCGAGAGAGGCACACATATCGATCGTTATTTTCACCTCCGCCACCGACGATGCTTCTCGTTAGTTTCATGGAAAGTCGAGTATCGATACGCGCGCAGCATTCCTCGAGTTCAAGAGCTCTCCGAGCTAACGACTAATTAGGCAGATACTGCTAAATTTTCGTGCTCACCTTAGAGAACGACCCGCGTAGCCAGGAAATTGATGTAGTTTCACTGATTATCGACGATTATGAAAGCGTTTCCTTTCTTTTTCTGTAATTTCATGAAAATGAAACGGATTACGGAAAAAAATTTATAATTCATATTCGAACCGGTCATTAGTCCTGTTAATCATCCATGAAATACTTGAAAATCCAATTGAGATCGAGACGTTAATGGGGGAATTTGTCTTAATACCTTCTTATCAAAAATGGTCAGCATTTAAACTCTTTGACAGTTTATGCTTTTTGGTTTCACGTGTTGGGTGTATGATTCAAGATTCGAGTGATTAATAAATTATTTGAATTCGAGTGTGCAAAAATGTCGTACTCATTTGTTATTGAAAATTTAATTAAAATTTTTTCGAATCATTATTCAACATTTTTTTTTTTAATATAAAACTCGTCAAGAAGTTGCCAAGTTGGATAGTCAATTGCCAAAGACGGAAATTTACCATTAAACTCGCATTATACTTCGCATGATTACAGCTCGAACTACGAAGAGACACGGTAGCGAAGTTTTGATGATTGCTTAATCGATAAAAAATTAGTCAATAGTTTTTTTTTTCACTTCAGTGATTCGAATTTGTCTCTTTAAAAAATAAAAAAAAAATGAAGAAGTCACGTAAATAGCTCGTAGCATAAATTAAAGCGAGAAATATTATTCTCGCGCATCGCTTCTATAAATATTCGTTATGACTGAAGAAATCGCGAGTCTCGAACGTACAAAAGTTCGAATGGTGAATGTACACGTGAGAAAATTTCAATGGAGTTGACCGATAAACAGTCGCGAATTTCATTCGGTTCTTATCGATCGCTCACCAAAACGACAGCTTGTGCAAGATACGCCAACTGTTAAAGAGAAAGATAACGTAAAGGAAGGTGGAAAATGGTAAAACAATCGATTCGTGTACGTTGGATGGCATTCGTATAGAATGCAAGTGCTGTCTCGAACGAAATCGACGGTTACCGATTTCAAATTCGCCGAGTCTTCGTCGTCGTCGCGCGAGTGGGAAGAAATCGCAGCGCAGCGCCAAGACAGTACAGGTTTCTGCAGTATACATATACGCTTTGTAGACGTGGCAATTGCAAGTGCATAGGTTGTTACTCTACATAGAGTCATACGCGACACGTACACGCATATTATAATGCACAAGCGCGAACAGCGCCAACGTCGAGCCGACGAATGCGTCCTCGTACGTCGACCCATAATGCAATCCTGCAGCGCACGGCCTGTGCTCCCAACTTCCAAACCCGTATGGGTGTTTAAATTTCCACTCACACGTGTATACGACAGGCGACACACGGACGCGTCGTACTACAATCGACTCGTACATTTAAACGGATAACGCGTGGAACGAGAGTCGAGGGGCGATGTGTATGCTTTTTGAATTGTCGAGCGAGTCCCCCCCCGTACATAGGCGAGGCCCCCCGCGACCCCCATGACGCCGACGTAACAAACGTACATTGCTCACCTTCCATGGGCTTCCATATACGTATGTCAGCTACGTATACAGCTGCTGGGTGCATCGTATGCGCTCGTCGATGTACTTTAACACGGCAGTGTGCGCATAACATTCAACTGCAGCAAACTCGGGAAGCCGCACATGCGCAGTCGAGTCTGCAGTCCCTACATCGTGTATCGTGTGCGTCGAGCCTCATATATTCGTGGCGTACGTTATACTCTTTACTTACAACGTGTACTAACACAGTCAAATGTTAAATGTATCGTAGGTGTGCGTGTGTGTGAGCGTCGCCTGCATATATTGTACACGATAGGCGCAAGTGTGCGTAGAACGTAAATTCTGAACTTGTATGTGTGTGTATGTTCTGTAGGCATTGTATCCTACTCCTAACTCCAATACTCCTCTCCTTGTGGCGTGCTGGTGCTGGTGCTGGTGCTGCTGCTGCACTGGCGGAGTGGTATAGACGCTTGGAGGAGAATCGGCCCCGCTAAAGCGTACGGGTGCCTCAGTCCGCTCTGCGTAGTCCCCGTAGTGACTCCGACTCTCTCGACCCGAGTGCCAAAAGTGTGCTAGAGAGAGACGACGAAGCGAGCAGCGCCGCCGCCGCCAACACATACACACACACGCACGGGACGCAGAGATTCGCTCTCGGAAGAGCTGCTTTGGGACTCGCAATTGAGTTGGGCTCGACGCGCGACACGGAACAGTCAACAAATATCATCGTGCACACGGACTTTTAAGACACTCGCAACGAGTCGCGCTCAGCTCAACATATATATACAACAAACTGATATATATACAGCATATATATATGTACCATACAGTTGAATATATAAAAGTGTAAAATTGTGTATATAAATCTATATATCTATACATATACATACTTTGGCATCACGCCTCGTCGCATAATAAAGTCACCTCAACAACGAGCAGTTGTTACGATTTTGCCCAAAAACTTGCGCGCGTGTGTGACGTTGCTGCAACAGCTCTCATCGTGTAAAGGCCAACAACAACTGCGTTTGTCGCCAAAAGCTCACAGCCATTGATTTGTTCGAGACTACTTATATATTACGCAGGATATATATACACACACACCGATCGACTGCAACACAACATCATCTTCTGCTCAAACAATCCAACGGTAAATTCGTGTATATATCATGTTATCTCTCTTTTCTCTCCGTGACCCCTGCTGCTGCGCTCCTACTATACATTTGTGTGCTTTACGTTGCTCGGCTTTGCCCTTTTTATCAACGCCCTTAGCTTCTCGAGATCGACTCTCTATCGCTCGATTGATACTTTTTATCCAGCTCTTGCAAACTTTCTGATCGTCTGTCTTTAATCTGTGTTTGTGTGTGTCACATTCTATCCCTCTCTCTCTCTCTCTCTCTCGCTTGCTCTTTCTCTCTTTCTCACTCGCTTTTTTTCGCTTGCAATCTACCTCTCTTGCGCTCGAATGCACACGCAAGCAATGTATGCAGTTGCTCATTTCGAGAGAGAGTCATGAGTTCGAGGTCGTGCAATTCGTACGCTGTCCGTGCCAACTGCCAAGCTTACTCTGTGTAGTGTATACGTTATATACGCCTGCGAGCAATGCGGGGGAGCAATTCAGTGCGAGACGAGGTTAGAAAATCCCGCGAATCGAGTGCAAAATCATCGTATTATTTTTAGGTCTATACGCTAATTACACCACGCATTGTGATCTGAAATTTTTCCATCTATTCTATCTCGTCGGCTAGTCTCTAAATTCACCTTTGAATTCTTTAATTGGGGATACTTATTCGTAATACACATCGAGTGACAATTCGGCAGGGTATTTAAAAATTTTGAAAATATTGTGTCATACCTGCATGGCTACCAAAACTTATTTTCACTTATAAGCTTTTTATTTCTTTGCTAAATTATCTTGTAATTCAATATAATTTTAAATTTACTCAATAAAATGCAATTTTGCATTCAATAGTTATTTCTACTCTGTCCAGTTCAAAATTCTAATATTATTGCATTTAGTATCAACCATTATTTGCTTTGAGCCAACTGTCTTTATAGTAAAATTCATATTTCTAACATAACTGACTAATATTATGTAACATTTTTTAAATTATAATCTAAACAATACTAATTTATCATTTCAGATATTTGGATATGCAATTAAGTTTTAGATAATTATTTACAACTGAAGTCACAACCAAAGCAACAAGATGTATAACCAAGATTTCGATAAAAGGCGATTAAAACCCACAAATAGTGAACCTTATAAAGGGGTTGATCATGAACAAGAAAGAGATTACGGTCCAGTTGCAGCTCCTATGTTTTATTCACCAACAAAAGTATCAAACAATAGCTTTGATCGTTTCATTCCAACACGCTTGGGAAACAATTGGCATACAACGTTTTCCATGATTTCCGATAGTAATAAAAGTATGATAAATAAAAAAGCTAGAGAAAATAATGCTGAGGGTAATCGAGATGGAATAGCTTACTCTTGTTTATTAAAAAATGAATTATTAGGTAAAGATCACTTATTTAATGTTTGTTCAAACTTACAAAATACAAAAACTAAAACATAATATTCTTCAAGGTGCAAGCATTGAAGATGTTAAAGGACAATGTGAAGAACGACGCATCCTTTCTCCTCTGGCTGGCAAGAATCTATTCAAATACACTACTCCTACAAAAGACCGATCTCTTTTAGATCATAGTTCCCCATATTCACTTTCTCCATTAAGTGCAAAGAGCCAAAAACTTTTACGTTCACCGCGAAAAGCAACCCGAAAAATATCCAGAATACCGTTCAAAGTTCTTGATGCCCCAGAATTACAGGATGATTTCTATTTAAATCTTGTTGACTGGTCATCACAAAATGTTTTAAGCGTTGGTTTGGGCAGTTGTGTGTACCTATGGTCTGCATGCACTAGTCAGGTAACAAGACTGTGTGACCTTTCAAGTGACGGAAATACAATAACATCTGTTGCATGGAACGAAAGAGGAAACCTTGTTGCTGTCGGTACACATGTTGGTTACATACAAATATGGGATGTAGCAACAAATAAGCAGGTACTTGGGATACAAAAAAATCTTTTTCAGATAAATTATTTTTTATAATGCATATTCTAATTATTTATTATTTTCCAGATTCACAAAATAACAGGTCACAGTGCGCGAGTTGGAGCGTTAGCTTGGAATGGCGAAGTATTGTCTTCAGGTTCTCGCGATCGATTAATATTCCAACGCGATGTGCGGACACCCTGTATCACGCCAGATCGTAAACTTGGTGCTCATAGACAAGAAGTATGTGGTTTAAAATGGTCGCCGGATAATCAATATCTCGCCAGTGGCGGTAACGATAATCGCCTCTACGTTTGGAATATGCACTCACTATCACCGGTACAAACTTACACAGAGCATTTGGCGGCCGTCAAAGCTATCGCTTGGTCACCGCATCATCATGGTTTATTAGCTTCGGGCGGTGGAACTGCCGACAGATGTATCCGATTCTGGAATACGTTGACGGGGCAACCGATGCAATGCGTTGATACGGGCTCCCAGGTTAGTTATAATCAAAGCTATAGGCTCTTCAAAAAACTTGGTCCCAATTTTCTTCACTCTTTTCATGCATGAAACGAAAGACTAAAATACAAGAAATAAATTCGATTCACTAATTCCGATTAAACTGATAGATTTAATATACAAAAATTAAAAATATAAACTTATTCATTTTCAGGTTTGCAACTTGGCATGGAGTAAACACAGCTCAGAGCTAGTTAGCACACATGGATATTCACAAAATCAAATTTTGGTGTGGAAATATCCAAGTCTCACACAAGTTGCGAAACTTACTGGGCATTCATATCGCGTGCTTTATCTTGCGATGTCTCCAGACGGCGAAGCAATTGTTACTGGTGCAGGCGACGAAACACTGCGCTTTTGGAATGTCTTTAGCAAAGCACGTAGTCAGAAAGAAAATAAGTCTGTGCTAAATCTTTTCACAAGTATTCGATAGGCTACGCGCGTTTATAATAGTGCATTGAAATGGTGTAAATATGGGAAAAGCAATTGTGAGTGTGCGATAAAATAATCGATATGAGGTAGTTTTGCCATGGTAATAAGATCGAGGAGTAATCTTTTGGGGGCAACTTTTCATTTTGTAGAGCAATCAGTTCATATTTTGAAAATTGATAAGTGATTTACACTTTTTTGATAGGCGTATTTATATTTTTTCTATTATTTTTGCCGTTATGAAAGTGAGAATCAAAAATTGAGAAACGATTATTTCTCTGAATTTGAGACCAAAGATATAAGATTCGAACAGGAGTGACATTTTCATGAGGTGGCTTTTTCATAAAAAGAGGTCGGAACGTTTGCTTATGTATTTCTTTTTTTAAGAAATGTTTTCTTTGTAGGAACTTTAAACTTTTGATGGTAAAGCTTTTTATAACCATTTGTATGAATTTTAAAATCGGTACTTAATGAATTTTATTAAACCTCCATCAGACAAATTCTCAAAAATGACTGAATCAATGGAAAAACTTCTTCAAGTACAAATGTTTAAATTATATTATATAATCATATAAATGAAGAAAAATATATTAGGACGAGTACAGAATCGTAGGTAAAGAGTTTGCGCTATATATAACTATTTAATTTTTCATGAGCACTATTTACTAAATATATTCAGTCATCCGTGCAATAACTTTCTACTTTTTTGTTGTTTCATCCTAAGTTAGTAATATACATTGCCACGCATTTTTATTTACGTAGAGGGTAGATGTAATCACTAATAGTGGTGTAGTCACAATTTTTATTAGTAATGATGAATGCTTGAAATTCATTAGAAGAATATTGTAAGAATATTTCTTTAGGACCAGTGAAAAAAATAAGCTACATTGGATAAATTATTTGTAAGCGGTTAATTTTGTTCAAAATTCGAAATTTTTCGAAACACTTTTGGTATAAATTAAAAATAGTAAAATTGTATGTGTAATGCGACTGTTATAATACGATACGAAATTGTAATAAAACAATATGAAATTGTTTTGTAAAAATATTTAAAAGGATGCGCAATAATTTAGAAAAATTTATTTTCTCAAAAACTTGGCTCATTTTTTCATACTGTGTAACCCACTGAGTATTTTTAATTAGTGCTCGTCAAATAAGTAGAAATGTTATCATACAATGCAGGTATTTAAAAACAAATTTTTCAAAACCATCAGAATTCAAATCGAAAGAAAATACATTCTCAAGTCGAGGTCGATTCTCGTGTTACTTTCAAAAAATCTTATTAATACTTTTAAATTGAAGAATAATTCCTGTTATTCACATGTGTAAATTATAAACAAATTTTAAATTTAAGAAAGCAAACTGCGTTTAACTTATACCATACGAAATCAGTCATTTGTATAAATTAAAGTCGAGGTGACAATTATGTAAATTTACCAGCATTTATATTATTAAAAAACTCATAATATATATACATATATAACTGAAAGAATGTCTTTAACTAAATCAAATTAGTTAATCATAACTAACTCAAATTTGAAATGGGTGAGGGCTAACAAAAATTTCCAAAAATTGAACACTATAGATGAAAAATGTTGATGTTTTCAAAATGTATGAATAAACGTTAACTTAAAAAATTGGAATAGATATGAATAATTTAACCATCACATTCTATATATCTATTTAATCAAGAGCTCTAACTTCAAAAGGTAAATTTCAAAATATTTTGAACGATTTTATTCATAACAGGCCTATTTGTACATAAAATAGCTAAGCAGCAGGTCGTTTAAAATCGTAATTACAATTTTGAAAAGTCAGAATTCACATAAGACTTTAAATAGCTAAATAGTAGTATTGTAAAAAGAACGAATGTGTAAAATTAACTTGACAACTTTAATTAAATGATTGATTAGAAATGAATTGTGTGAATACATATGTGCGTGGTTATATTATGTATTAAAAATAGATTAAAAAATATTTTTTGGGTAGTCCATCTTCATGAAACTTTCTATGTGCAGTCAAAAATTGTTCTTAGTTATAATTGTGTCAATAGTATAATAATTAAATAAATAACAACTAAGATGTGGATATGAATGAGAACCAAGATCATTGACCATACTTTATTGAATTCTCAACTTTTGCATAAAAAGTCCAAAAAACTCTATTTTGAAATTTTCCAATAATTTAAAAAAATTATTGCTTGTAAAAGTTTAAAAAATAAACACAACGCTTTAACGTATGAATAAATACTTCAAAATGATATAATTTCTATACTTAATAGGTATCTAGTGTAAGGTAAGTTTTTGCTTATTCAAAACAATGATAATTTTCATTGAAATTTTGAAAGTACGAACTATCAAGAAGTGTAAATGTGCAATTTTTTCATAATAGTCTTATTTATATACATGGAGCGTATTTCATTTTTCTATACACCTCAAATTTTATTTTTTAAATGCCAATAAAGAAACTTCCAAAAGTAAGAAAAATATTAAATTTTACTTCTTTATTTGGTGAAATTTTTTTTCAAGCTGCTTAAATTATAATACTAATATAATTTAAGCAGTTTTAATAGAATATAATTCTCTCCTTGGGAAAGAAGAATTACGGTGAATTGCAATGCATTTTTCGATAGTTTTAAATAATAATATTAATGTATGGTGGTGTAGTTAGCTTATTATTTTGACACATTTATTCATATATCGCTCCCGAATTTGAGTGACAATATAGTGCAACTACTGGACCAATATCAGGTGAATATCGCAGTATTAGTATACTGCTAGTACAGGACCAGTGCTGCGCCAATATCGCGATATTGCAATTTTGGACGATATAAGAAAGCTTACGCATGACTCTTTATTTGTTGATGTGATAGTGGAAAAAGATCATGACCGACGTAATATTTTGAAATCTTTTCAAGAGTTTTTCATTGAAGTAAGTTTTCAATTGTATAGTAGGTTTGATCTTGAGGAGAATATTACAAATAAGGAATTGTATTTTCATCCGACCAACATAATAAGCAGTGAATTTCACAGAATTAGATAGTAGACAAATTTGATAAAAAAAAAAGCAAAATCAATGGACAGTTGAATAGACGATGTACACAATAGAAGGCGAAAAGTCAAGTACATTGATAAGCAGAAATTACAGAAAAATCCTGTTACTGTTGCTGATTTGGTACAATAAATCCCATAAACACGGCGAAAAAATTCTTTTATTCACCATTATGCATTTGTGGGCAAAAATCCCGGTGAATGGGACTGAGGTTCTATCTATTCGCTTTCAGTGATGAGACGGCGTACGATCATTTTTGAAAAGAATTTAATTTTCACAAAAAAATTATTTTTCTCGTTCGTTTTCTATCTTCTCTAGCTTTATTATTCAGTCGTCGTAAGGAATACAGTAAAAATGACGAGGCTGTGAACTTCCCATCGAACGTTACGAGTATTAGGAGTATTGCGAGCCCATAAAGGTACTAGATGAGTTACGCGGTGATGCGGCCCCGACAGCTTGCAGTCCATGTTAGATGGTTTAAGTGCTCGACATCGAAGTGCCCGAGTGCTGCAGCTTTGCTCAGCTACATCTCACGTGTCGTGTCGGACGATATATACCTGATCACCAGTGGCGGATTGTGGAGCACGCCTACCACGCCATGACGTGGAAATAGCAGCGGATAGGGGCGGTGAATTTTGGAATCGATATTAACCATTTTTTTATAAGCTATGATTTATTGCTAAGAGTTTTTTTGATGTGTATGTAGTTATATAGAAGATAAAAAAAAATTCTCGATGAAATCGTCGCCAAGTAACAATTTTAAACTGATTAAAATTTGGAAGGAGAATGTATTAACAGATAAATCGGTACCTTAATTGTAAACAATATGATTTTGAGCGATCTTGACATCGTCCCTCGACATAGTACCGATCATGTTTATAGTAAAAACAAATTAGTTTGAATCGTATATTTCCCAATGAAACAAGCCATAATACCAAAAGATAAATCTTGATTCAATTTCCGGGCCACTAAATCAAAGGATCCATCGTTTAATTTAGGAACCAAAATGAATAAAAGTGAGAAGAAATCCGAAGAAGTTATCTCACAAGATAATATAAGTGAAAACGACAATGTTGTTTCAGACGACAAAAAATACATTTGTGACGTTTGCCAGGAGATATTTACACTAGAATTAATCATGATCACACACCGAGATACAATACACAATAAACTAAAAGATTACGCATGCGACAAGTGCGAAAAGACATTCGAGTTTCGAAGTCATTTGAGTAGACACCAAATATCAGTACACAAAGACCACAAAGATTTTGTATGCGACAGATGTGAGAAGAAATTTGTGAAACAATCGAGTTTATTTACGCACAAAAAATTAGTACACAAAGATCGCGAAAATTTCACTTGCAACAAATGCCACAAAAAATTTGAAAATAAATCAACTTTACTCAAGCACAACAAAATATTCCACGAAGCATTCAAAAAGTACTTATGTGAAATGTGCGCCAAGAGATTTGGAAATAAACATAGTTTGCTCATACATATAAAGACAATTCATGAGGGTCCCAAAGATTTTGCATGTGATAAGTGCGGGGAGAAATTTACTCAAAAATCACAATTGCTCTTCCATCTAAAGGCAGTACACGATGACTTCAAAAATTACTTAGGTGACAATTTTGGGAAGAAATTCGGACATAAATTTCATTTGCTCTTAAACATAAAAAGAATTCATGAAGGTAAGAAAGATTATACATGTGATCGATGCGAAAAAAAATTCAGACGAAAATGGCATATGCTCTACCACGAAATAACAGTCCACGAAGATCGCAGAGATTTTGCATGTGACAAGTGCGAGAAGAAATTTGGTTATAAACATCATTTACTCCAACACCAAAGTGCAGTCCACGAAGGTCGCAAAGATTATGCATGCGACAATTGCGAGAAAAAATTTGCACGAAAACGTGATTTGTTTAGGCACCAAAAAACAGTCCACGAGGGTCGCAAAGATTACGCATGTGACAAGTGCGAACAGAAATTTGGGCTCAAATCGAGTTTGATCAAGCACCAAAATATAATCCACGAAGATCACCGAGATTATGCTTGTGATAAACGCGAGAAAAAATTTGGGACTCGGAGCAAATTAATAAAACATAAAAAAAAAGTACACGAAGAACTTAGAGACTACGTATGCGAGAAGTGTGGGAAAAAATTCAAGGGTCCAAGTAATTTGATGAGACATCAAAAAATAGTCCATGAAGGCCGCAAAGAATATGCATGTGACAAATGTGAGAAGAAATTTGGACTAAAATGGGTTATGATTCAGCACCAAAAGACAGTCCATGAAGGTCGCAGAGATTTTGCATGCGACCATTGCGAGAAGAAATTTGGGCAAAAATGTCATTTGCTTATTCATCAAAAGACAGTACATGAATGTCGCAAAGATTACGCATGCGACAAGTGTGAGCAGAAATTTGAAAGAAAATCAGATTTATGGAAGCACCAAGAAGCAGTCCATAAAAGTCGCAGAAATTTTGTATGTAATAAGTGTGAAAATACATTTGGAAGTCGAAGTAATTTAAACAAACACCAAAAAACAACTCACGAAGGTCGAAAAGATTATCCATGCGACAAGTGCGAAAAAAAATTTGGACAAAAAACGGACTGGTTCAGACACCAAAAAGCAATACACGAGGGTCACCGAAATTATGCTTGTGATAAGTGCGAGAAAAAATTTGGGCTTTTAGGCAATTTAACAAAACACCAAAAGTTAGTCCATGAAGGTCAAAAAGATTACGCATGCGAAAAATGCGAGAAAAAATTTGGACGAAAACCATATCTGCTTTTGCACCAGAAGACAGTGCACAATGATCCATAAAAACTATGCATGTGAAAAGTGCGTTAAGAAATTCGGAAGTAAATCCGATTTTTTTAATCACCAGATGACAGTTCACGAAGATGATCATTAAGATTTTGTGTACCTTCACCGAATTGGAATTGAAACCGAAAAACAGTCCATAAAATTCTCAAAAACTACCTATCGAACAATTCTCGATGTTTACAAAGATTACGTATGTGATAAATGCGCTTTTTTCTTATTACCTAAAATATGAGCAATTGCAGTCTTTAATAAAGACTTTTTGTGAATTATTTGTTGCTTCTACGAATTTCTCAAACTCTTTGCAGTACATGTATACAGAATAAGAAGGTGGTCACTTTGCGGGCCATTTATCATGTATTTTATGTATGTTTTAGAAAGTCAATATAAGTTTAATCCTTCGTTCAAGACAGACAATTTTCGAAATAAAATTGCGGGAAATTCGATCAAATTGAGCTCTTCTATGACAAATGCTTTCTTGTGTTACTTTTAAACCCGAACAGGCGATATTTTCTTTATCAGCGTTTTATTCACGAAGGATGCATGTTTCGATGATTAAATTTTTGTCAAACAATAGTATTATTTGTATTTGCTGTAAAAATTATGATTAAAGTAATTTAGATCAGTTTTCAAAATTCAAATAGAACGCAAAATACGACTAGAATGCAGCTACAATGGAACTTCCTAGTCCAAGTATTCAAAAATTCAGATACAAATGTGAATATTTATCAACGTCAAAAGTAATCAAATTTCAATATCGGTTAAATGAAATTCAATCAAAAAAGGTTAATATTAAAAAAATGTACCCAGTGGATATAAATTTGATATTTAATTTAATCATCTGTTAAACTACAATATACAATAATATGATATTTTTTACAATATTTTTCAAATTCAGTCTATTATTTGTTAGGTGTGCAATTGCATTGCGTTAAGTAATAAGTCCTCATCATTTTGAATCGTTAAATTTGTATATCCTCACATTACCACTCGACAGTATTGTATTTCGTTTATTTTTTTTATGTTAATTTGATGAGCTTCATGATATATAAGTAATTCATGTAAATACTCGTGAAAACTATGACTCTCTACTTAGTATGTAATATAATATTTATAAATTTTACAAGTATAAAAGCTTTTTACAATAAAACCTTATTATTAAAAATGCTACAAAAATTATTCATATGCGATGTATATATTTAATAAAGTTGTCAATAATTTTAGTTGATCTTCATTAATATTGGGTTGAAATCATATTACATGTTTAAATATTATTGCACGATTGCTAACATTAAATATTATTTACTATTTATTTAATGACTTCATAAACATACTGCAACTTGACCATTAAATTTTTTTAAGTTTTATTTCTCCGTTCCAACTACATCTAAAAATAAGTAACATAAAATGCTTTGAGTAGGTCAAATTTCTAAGATAATGACATTAATTATCGGAATCGTCAACTTTTTTGAGATTTTAAATGTACAAATGTTGATATAAACAATTTTTTCATTCAGTATTTGGAGAAATTAAGAAATTTTATTCGATTTTCTGAAAAATGGTGTGACGAATGGTTTATCGACTTTTAGGTATCCACTATCCATTAATAAGATATACACTACATTAATCGTACAGATACTGCTATTGACATTAAACCGGGGTCTTTTGTGCACGCAACAAACATTACTAGCCATTAATAACAAGCGTAAAACAGTACTTGTTAATTTTAAGTATAGTTTGCTTCAACTTATAAGATAAAAGAAATAAAGCACTGACTTTTCTTAGCCCTCTAGCATAGCTCATCGGATTTAGATAAATTAAGGAAATCATATAACTCGAATGCTCGCGATTAGAATATAATATGAAATGCTGTAACGATACTTTATATAATACAATACGGAGATTTTTCTTAGAATTATAAAAAATAAAAATAGACTAAAATTTTCTAAAAAGCAATGCATCGCATCACTTGGCAGAATAATGGGAGCCGAGATTGGACGAGGGTCCCCGATGATGGTGGTGTTGCTTGTTGTGTGGACCCGAGTAACGGCTGCCGGGTCGCGAATGAACGATAGCGTAGTGGTCGCTGTTGGTCGAGATCGAGCGCGTCGAGTTCATCGTCGAGCCTCCCGACGTGTAGCCTGGCTTTCCGTTCAGCGAGTACCTAGACATAACGACATTTTAAAATCGCTCAACTCTCTCTGCGCGAGCTCAAAAACATATACTTCCAAAGTTCAGACTCAATTTGAAAGTTTAATTTTCATGTTCGACTTTGATTTTTTTATCGCGCGTTCAATAATTCGTCTTTTATGGGAGTATATATTTTCGAGTACTCCATGTACGGCAAATGTCATAAGTAATATTAAAAGCATTGATGAACGCAGTAAATTTTCATTTTATGTTTTTTGTTTTAATATTACGAGCTATTTATATAATATTGTCGATATTAGTCAAGACAGAAACTGAAGATGATGAGCAGTGCATTTGTGCTTTTTGTTACGCATTATATAAATAAATTAATACAAACAACAAGAGCAATTATACGTGCGAAAGGCAAGAAGCAAATAAGTCGAATAATTTATAAGGAAAAAATTAAGTATGATCGGTTACGTGAAAAATGAAAGTGTCAAAATCGACACTCAAGTTATGTTGAAAGGTATATAAATAAAAAAACACAATCCTACCGTGCTCTAGGCGCGACCGCGGGCTACTTCTTGTGTACTGTACGTGCTACAAAAAAATACAAGTCCCGACAAAGTGAGCTTATAGAATACACAAAATAATAACTAATATCTAAGAAAATCAATAAAAATAACAACATCAACAACCATAACAACAACAGCTATTTCAACTACGTCTACGATAAAAACAAACAGTAATAAATCAGCCAGAAGAAAAGGCAAAAATCCTTCGTAAATATAATCGTGTGTAACCATTTTCATCTTAAAAAGTTGCAGCTGCGAGATCGTGAATGATTGAAGCGCGCTTACCTCGATCCGTATTGAGAGCCGTGCCAGCTTCGGTAAGGATCGTAATCTTCGATGATCGACGGCTCCTTCTCGATGATCTCGGTGCGCGCACAGCTGCACGTCATCGCCGAGCAAAGGAACACGTTGATGATGAACATGATGAGCAGCAAAATGCCCAGGGCTATCGCCAGCCAGAGCAGCCAGCTCGGGTGTATGATGCCGTCCTCGCACAGGGGCTGCAGCACTGTGGCAAAATTTTTCATCGTTAATATACCGAGAGACTCTTTTTTTAATTTTTTACGATCGAAAAATTGTGCACTTACTGGGAGTATCGCCGGGATTCAGCACGTATACGCTCGTACCGGCGTGCAACAAGGCCTCCTCTTCGCGGGGATTAGCTTGACCCTTGATGGCAAGTGCATTGTCGTCGCCGTCGCAAACGGGCTCGCCGCACGTTTCTGTCGATCAAAACATTACATCATTGCTATATAATATTGCATCGAGATGCCGTGGTATCGATGTTCACGTATCGATTACATTCTGCGATTTTCAACTGCGGGGTATCTAGCTCTAATGAACTTTGGTCTCACCTTTGCATAAAACTATTTCGCATTGGAGATGTAACTGCTTCTGCGTATCGGAAAAGCGAAACGCGGACAGTGTCGCCTCGGCAGTTCCTGCATGCCTGTCGTAAACGAATTTCGAGATGAATCTCGATTTATCCGGACATCTGCAAAATAAGCAAGACAACGCGTGAATTATCATATAGATGAAAAATGTCGTTTTTTATGACAGGCAACATTTTACTGCTGCACTTGATTTGAATATGTTTATTACTTTTGAATGTAATATTTTTTTCTTGGTTATACGATCGTTATAGTGCAATCAATGAGTGCATTCATTTAAATATTCGAATAGTTAAACTTGTTTTTTCGGAAACAGTGAAAAAAATGAAGTTTAGCTTACCCTCGTTCATCGACGATAGTTACGTTGTGATTGTCCGTATCGAACCCGAGACAAGATTTCACTTTGAAGCCGTATGTAACTGTTGTAATAACAGAAAAAGCATTATTAAAGGAAATCATATTGTTAATTGTGAAAAATCTATTTCGAAAAATTTGAATACTCACGGTCGACGGGTGAAATTTCGGCTCGAAGAGTGTAATTATGCCCAAAAATGGCCTCTTGTACTCGCCTATTGGTTGCACTATCCAAAAGTCGTAAGGACACCAAAGACGTCTCGTTCCTACATAGAAATAAATTAAAAAAAAAAGTACGCTCAATTGCAATAAAAATTTAGAATTTATATTAAAATAAAAAAAAAACTAAAACGTATTAAATATTTGCTGTTGCATCACAGCGATTTATGTTTTAAAGCATACTAATAAAAAAACTTTAAGCTCAAAAATGAAGAATATCTTTTAAATTATTCTTGACACAGGCGTTTACTTAGTCAATAAGCTTGCAGATTTCTTCAACTTATAGCATAATTTCATAATTTACTTGAAAGACATTCGATGAGTACATTATTTAATATAGTATTGGTTTCTGAATGCTATAGTCTAGCGATCCAATATTCTTTTGTATATTTTTTTTTATTTTGAAAAACAAAAGACACAAGACAAAAACAATAATAATCATAAAAAATTTACCTTGCATTTCTGTACTTGGTATTTCCACACGTTATCACGTAAAATTTGTCATCTGCGAGCTCTAGAGTTTTGTGTATTCTCACCGCCAACGAGATAGATCTCTCGTCTGTTCTCTAATGAAGAAAATACGATAAAAATATGTTAGTAAAAACATAAATATTACACATTCATGACTATGTTACCTGAATAATGAATTAATGTTATTCTATGAAAATATGATTTATTTTTACCGATGTAGAACGTTTCCGATTTAATAATCGAATGCGATCGAGGAAATTACAAAAGCATATCTGACTGAAATCGATTTGGCAATTCGGTTCGTGTCATTGAGCGGAAGTAAGCGGAAGTTTTAAAATTCACAAATCGAAGTAACGATCGGATAAAAAGAGATGGTGAGCGAAAAAAAAATTGTTGTCGCAATAGCGACTATATAAGAGCACAGGCCGCGTTGTACAAGCTCGTGTAATATCGTTACAAAAAGTGAATCATCCCGAGAAAATATTCAGGTGGCTTACGTTGTTAACGACGATGCCGCAGTACTCGGGTGAATCCGGTATGGCGAAAAGATCGATCTTGAGATTGATGGAGTTGGAGGCGTTGCCCGTGGCCATGCAGGGCGGCCTGCGGTAATCCTTGTTGTAGCCGCGCGAGTGCACCGTCCCCACGAAGCTCTGATTGAAGTTCACGCGGATGTTCATGAAGCCGGGCTTGCACATGGCTGTGACCGTCGGCTGGAACTCCGATTCCAGCAGCTGTGACTTTGTCTGCAAATGTATCACACACATACATTATATATACCCCGTGTATCAATAAAAGACTGCGTATTTCGTTCAAATATACCAGTTGCAGTCGATGTCATTGTAACATGTGACTATTATCTCAATATGCGTCGTTATTTACGAGTTAATCGAAACTCGCTATCGGGTCACGACATTATAACGTATTAGAAGATGTAGAGGAGCGAGAGAAAAACTGGTCGGAAACCGGCTTGTTTTATACATATGTAAGTATATAATACGCGTGAATGTTTGTAAGCAACGCAAATAACTTTCTCTTCAGCTGCGTGTGCAGGAGAGCAGAGACATGGGTTACGCAAATTGTGACTTCGTCGTGAATGTATATATGTATATAGGTTCACGATAACCTGCATGTACATATGTCTAAAAGCGACGACTGCTGCAGGGCCCATTTATGGACGTACGCCTCGAGGAAAACAGTTTCGCAGCAATGAAGCCGGCGCGTATATTATGCATTTATGTGTGGCAACGATATCGCATTCATGAAAATTAAACGAGAACAAATGTTTCGTACATTTTTCGTAGCTAGTCACGAGGCTTGGGCCGTTTTAGCAAATTGAGATAAGGATAAATGAAATCCAGTTTCTTTGATTAATTTATTGCATCGAATCATAGCCGAAAAGTAAATTAATAGAGCTCGTCGCGAATCGACTGGCTTTGAGTTATTCGGTTGAAAAGCGAAGAGAGCTTTCGATCGAGTCAATTATCACTATATAAAAAAAGATTCTAGGTGGATTCGCGAGAATGATTTCAACATGCAAAACGTATTTACGAGCGGAGGCGGCATTATAATACGCCTCGAGGCATTTTAGAAATGAGAAGAAAGAAAAAAACTTTCATGCAAAGTATGCGATTCCGCAGCGGAGATGCGTATTTATTCTTTTTTATAAGCACGAATTTGCTCGCACGCTCTTTTCTCTACTCGCTCATAATTAGTACACTAGTTGGCACAATGAACGCGCGCGACTTCGCAGTTAACCTTCGTTAGCTTAATACGTCGAGAAGGTGTCGCGAAGGTTTCGGCCTACCTCCAAGAGAGTCTCTTGATGAGTCTCTTGAATTGCGCTTGTGAAACACTGCGGCGTGTATGCATAAAGAAGTGTATCGAAGTATGCCGAAGAAATTAATTCTCGGATCCGAGAGCATACAGGCTACTTGGCAATTTTCGCAATTATTCGCTCGTTTTATTTGCTTTTATTTTAATGCCACTGGGATTAGAGAGGTCTGTTCGGTTGAAAATTACAAAATGTATATATACTCGTAGTTATAATAAGCGAAGATTCGACTTACCTCTTGAATTCCAAAAGCCACGAGAAATATGCAGCCGTATAGCAGCCATAATTTATCCAAGTTCAGCATCGTTATCCTCCAGGGTAACATTCTGTTCGTCATCGTCGCCATCCTGCTTCTCCTCGGCCCTTTTATCTCCTATTTCTTTTTCCCTTTGTCTCACTGACTCTGACTTCGGTCACAGTATCTCGACCATAAAACCTAAAAAATACAAATGAAAAATACATTCTCGCGTTAGTTGCGAGCATATGAATTATGATCCGTTCTCTTCTCTCCCTTTCGCTTTTTTAAAATCGCTCGTAAACGTCATTTTCGAAAGATATATTTTGAACGAAAAAGAAAAAAAAACACACGTGCGTTATTGTACGCTGTAAAGTTATTTTTAAAGCGTTGGTGATTGTGCTACAATAGCGACAAGCCATTCTTCATCTTTTCAAAAAATATATCGATTTGAATCCTTGAATCGATGTTTTTTTTAGTTTCCAGTTATTTCTAGCCATTAACAACGCCCTCCTTTTGTGCAAATTACGACTGTACGATAACAACTCGCCGTGAATAATATTATTTAAATGAGTATAACAGTGTTCCGAATACTTTTAAACTGTAGTACTGGTAAGACAGTTTCAAAGGAATAACGAATGAATGCAAAATTTGATCGCGACGACCTTCGTGAAATTCCAATCAACTCGCGGTATTCGTAACAAATAACTTTTACAGCGAAAGAAATCAATGGAACCTGTTGAATTGAAAGAAACAGCGCTAATGTATATGATGCGAATTAAGATAAAAGTAGGAAAAAGTACACGACTTTCATCGTGATGCTATCGAGGTGCATTGTTTTCTCTATTCACCGAGAGAAAGAGAAATGTCCAGTAATTGTATAAAATAAAAAGTAAACATTAGGCTAATGTTTGAATTGAATTTGAGAAATTTTCCACAAAATCGCCTTTCCAATTAAAGGAGTAGCAACGAAAAGAAAATCGATTAATAAACAAATGAATTAATCGAAGGTATATTTTTCATGAAACTAGGAGGCTCACAAGCGATCGGAATGCAGTTTTATCTCCGAAGCACCAACATTTACTCCAAAAAAAAAAAAAAACCACCCAAAGAACGGTAAAAATATTATAATTCTTCACAGCTTGAGATAGCCCCGAACGAGAGGAAGAACAGGCACGAAGAAAAAAAAGAAAGAGCCGCCTCGCGCGGAGAGCAGCAAAATACGTACAAGTTTTTAGCAAAAAAGGTATAATGGGTATGCGCGAAGATTCGAGATAAGGAGATTTTCGATGCGTAAATTCAACGTCATCCTCGCTGCAGCGCGCGGCTCTCGGTACGCGTTGCAGCCTGCTGCACGATCCGCGGTACATACGTACGTACACGCAGCAGTAGAGCAGGACGATGATTTTTATTTGGCGCGCCCCCTACACACTCGCACATATTCACCCACACATACGCACATATACATGTAGTTGGCGAGCGCATGTTATATACGTAGAGATACGCACACAAGGTATATATACAGGATAGTCGCGCATATACACGCATGATGCACATAGCCCGAGCTGCTCGAAAGAGAGAGAGACTGACAATAAGCTCGATTGTAGCTCTCTCTTTTTCCCTCTCTCAGTCCCTCTCAGACTTTTTCAGCTTGTCTATATAGATGTAGGCATGTACAAGACAATGTGTTGCAACGCGAGCGACATGCCAAGTTCAAGATCGGTATTCATACATACACAGGTACCGCGGTATATGTATGGGCTCGAGAGCTATATGGTCCATGCGAATCGGAGACTTTTCATACACGTACATCGGCTGCGATGTTGAAAAGTGGCAATTTAATGCGGCGTGACGCGCTGGCGCACTGGCCATGCAGAAAGGAGGCGTCAAGTAAACGCTTACGGTATAAGCCAAACGGTACGGAGGCTCGCGCCTTCTCCGATCTGCCTTTTAGCAAATATATATTATATACAATATACGGAACGATCCTCGCGATCCTCGGAGTTATTCGCTGGCGAGAGAGGAGAAGAGAGAGAGAGAGAGAGAGAGAAGCGATGCGTATCGCAATCGGCAGCTGCGAGCCAGCCACGCCGTGCCGTGTGCACCACCATGGTAAATGGTCCCGCACGATTACTCACCATTTAGAGGCTCGGGAATTTCGCTGTTGCAGCGGCAGCGAGAGAGAGAGAGAGACGTGCGTATACGTATATACGGGCGGCCGCCGAGAAAGAGGAGAACGAGAGAGAGAGAGAGAAGACGAGTCAAGGACTCGCCGATGTGATCCTCGTTGCTTTTATTTTCCGAGACGATGTCTGCGCGTCTGCGGCTCTGACAGGTCTTTCAGATTCGGAGTCGATTGTAAATTATACGAGACAGCAGCAGAGAGGCACCGATCACATTTTGTCACTGGACACAGCGCGAGGAACTCGAGTCCAAGCGAGCGAGCTCGTTATACAGGTATAACGAAAGACACCGCTTACACTAGCACTCTACGGTCGCGAAACAACAATGTGCAGCGCTGCTCGCGATCGCGAGACATGCAGAGGCCATAACGGCGATCTTGCGACTGGTGGCTGGCTGGCTGGCTCTCTGGTGCGCGCAGCTGCAGCGCGTGCTAACTGCGATCTCGTCTATGTATTTTGCTATGTATATTCGTGCACAACACACACACTTGCACACTCGTATGCACTTGGAGAAACAAAAACACACACAGGCGCGCACGAAAGTGTATAGTCCTTGCGGTGCTGCTGGCTCGACGGTGGCAGTGCGAATATATGTAGCGTGCAGGAGAGCGAACGCCGACTGGTGCGCCTCGAGGGCCTCGCGCTTCTATCTGGCATATAACACACAGAACAGAGCATAAGGCATGGGACGGGGAGAGAAGGCGCGCCGCGCGCGAATATACTACGACTACGGCTACGCGGTGGAGGAGCTCCCACCTCCAACCGATTTCTCCATTCCTCCGCGAGCCTGTGTTGCTGCTGCTGCTAAGCGCCTAGTATGCTATATCCTATATACCTGTACGGCGTTCCGTCCAGCTCTCGTGCGTCTCGCTACTGCACTCTACACGGCTGCCCCGTAGGCCCAGCTAAACCATATAATAGCCGCTCTGCTATTCGACTCGCTACCATACGTACCGCTGACACTCGCGCTAATCTCTTCCTCGCGGACGGTACTGCACGCGGGCCGGCCCTTAGTATATACCAGCGGCTCGCGTGCACTACAGCTGCGATACCGAACGCTTTTATTATTTGGCCAAATTGAGCCTCGTTAGCTGCAAGTCGGCGAGCCTGCTATTTTTACACACTACGTTCTTGGTGGCGTGACGATATTATATCATGGCCATGCGTCGTCCCCCGATCGTCGTCCTGCGCGACTTGTATATATTTTCGCTCCACGAGTAAGTGTGCAAGGATCGTCGACTGCAACGGCGGCGGCGGCGGCGGTTTATGGGTACCGTTACGGCCGCTCCGCGCACTGCACCGTGTATATATGCAGTACACATAAACGCGCGCATTCTTACGAAATACCGAGCTGATAAACGCTAGCGCGAGCTCGTTGCGCGCACGATATGTATATAATAGAGCGCAGCCATTGATGGCTCCCTTCCGGTGCAGCAGCCCGAGCCTCTATCCTTGTGCATCCACCTCGGCGCTTAACGTGAAAGTTTATAATTTGTGTAATCTCGACTCGAGCAACAACCAGCTCTTATCGGCTTCTCCGACTCGAGCGCCTAATCCCATATATATACGTACGACCAATTGATAACGTTTTCAATTTTCCCTGCCCTGGATAACGTTTCAATTATTCGTTCGCCTCGATTACCCTCGTCCTGCTGACACATTATCCAGCGAATCCGACGTACTCGAGTATACATATAGCTCGCAAAAAACACGCAGCGAAATTCAAACAAACGCGCGGTCGAGTCGAACAAATAAAAGAGTAAATAGAGTCTTGACAAAAAAAGCTCTCTTTTGTAGTACCGATCTCGCTGTCGGAATCGTTTCGTCGGACTGATCGTCGATTTAATCGCCGATCGATCAAGCCGACGAGAAAAATTACTAATGAAAAGTCGCTGTTTCACTCGACCAAGGTCCTTTTTGATTTCTATGTATAGCGATGCGTATACACTGCAGCAAATGCGACAACTGCCTGCGTTGCTATGTGGCGAGAAGAAGGAGCGATGGCAATCACGCGTGTCTCTCTCTCGCAGGCGCGCTATGCGACATCGTATAATATGCGCTCGCTCCGTGTGTACACAGTGTACAATTAACGAGAAGGCGGCTGCGCGCGAGCACGACCCATTTCGCAGTCGCTACTTATACTTAGCGACTGCCTTTTTTTGCATGTAAAAATGCGCACTTACAGCGCGCATCGATGATTGTCATATTTTTCGAGCGATCGCGAGCCGCTGCCGATAACGACTTTACTATACACTAGCCGCTAATTCGTATCCTCGTGAGCCATTGTGTGCGCGCGTGTGATTTCCGCCGAACGATTTCACGGCTGGTAAGCGCATCGCGTGTACTGCAATCTGCATCGTCAAATACATTGTATTTTTATCTAGTCTTATACTATTGGAACCTCCGGAGTAGAAGGATGAGCGAATAAATAAAATAATCTGCAGGAAGTCGGGGAAAGATTCAGTATAGACAAAATACCAAGTTGTAAGATTCGAAAAGGTTTCGGTCCGCTTTATATTTGCGCGTATAAAAACGAAAGAATACAAGCTAAAGGACAAAACGTCGTGGTTGAACAAAGTCGAGAGAGACTCGAGAGCGAGGCGTGACCGGAATTTCGAGCGGCACGTGAAAACAAATGGAGCGCTCGTTACGAAATACCTGCCGAGTGCTTCATTCGGAACTCGCAGACTATATATCGTAAATGTACACTCGCTCGCTGCGGAGTTGTGGATGTTGGAAAAAGTAGGCGATTGTCGCGCGGATGTACCAACACACAGTCGCTGCGCGAATATCTTACATAAGCGTCTTTTTCTCTTTTTTTTTTGCATTAACATATTTTGAATTATGGAGCGAGGATATGCGCCGCTGCTGGCGACAAGCAAGGTCGAATTGCGAGCAGCGACCCACGCGCGAATCGGAGACTCGGGCGTAGTTTGTGCAACTCGCGACGAATGCCATGACTCGGAAACGAGCGCCGGCGACGATCCTCGCGGATACATTCATAATTCATCAGGAGAGAGAGAATGGCTATATAATTAACTGACTCAGCTGAAACGTCTAATTCGCCGATCGCCATGAGCTTTACGCGAGCTTGTTTAGAAAGCGTCCTCCATGAGACTTGTACTTATCATCCTTTTTAACTTTGGCCTATCATTATGACAAATCACCGGTATTTATATAACTTTTTTAAAACTCCCAACTCCTGAATCAAATTACTTGTTTTTTAAATATTTTTGAAAACCTTAACGTTCTCGTGAATGGCGATTAGATCGTGTTTTTTACCACATTTGGAATGAAGCGCCGACTGTGAAGCAAGTTTGGTGAAAAAATGCTCGTCATTTTTTTTAGAATTTCGCAATGTCTTGTCTTAGCTGCACTGATGGACGTGCAACTATATTGCACTCAAATAACGTTTTTCTCATTTACTGTCATCATTCGCGAATGAACTAGTGCAGTAAATTCTAAAAACTCGCTTACAGCTCAACTTGTTACGTACATGGAATGTAAATATACATTTTACTTTAACAGTTTATGAACCTTATAACGAGTTTAACGCGATATTATTTTATTTTTGAAAAGAGAACTCGCACAATTTTTTATTTATTTAATGATTTACTGACAATATTCTAAAATTTAAACTCATTTGATTAACACATAAGACTTTCAAATGCGTTTTTCGTCGAGTATAATCTAAAATATCTTTCTAAATATTACCTTGAAATTCCTTCGGGTTGAAATGAATAGTTTGAGGCAATCGAAAAGTCCTAATGGTTATCAGCTAAAATTAGTCCTTCAGACAGAAAATTTATTGGTAGTCATATAGTGGCCACTGTGACGCTCCGATATGAATTGAGTAAATTTCGTTACTGAACAAAGAATTTTTCCGATTAAGCTCTTTTTTACAATTGGTAATTAAATGCCCCAACGTCAGGACCCACAACAATCTTAATGATACAATAAACGTTAAAATAAAAAAAATGTTTAAAAAGTAGAATCAATATATTTCTTATTAATAAATATACTTACAACTAAAGGTATATAAATCCATTAACTTCTACTTTTAGACTCGAGTAAAAAAAACACAGGTCAAATTCGTCATCTTCAAACCTTGGAAGTGTAAACCACATTAAAAACTATCATTTCGTAGATTGCCCGCATTCGAGTCTCCTAATGTAGATGGCGACACCACCTTCTGCGGTTATCCAAATTCATGGTGGACTTGCTTGACGTCTGCCAGTTGCCACAGTGTTGGTGAACGTGCAGCGTCTACCGACTGTCGAGTCGTTGTAAACTTAAGCACGTGTGGTGTATGTGTATTATTTTCATTAACCTCAAAATTAGTTATTGTCAGTTTCACTTGTTTTTCGTGCCAGTTTTGCAACAATCATGAAGGAGTTAGCAGGACCTAATTACACAGTGACAGTGGGAAGCCATGTCATCATTCAAAAGTTAAATTTTAAAAAAGTTTATCGAGTTACGGAAACCGGCTCGTTAGCTTTAGGCAGAGAAGAAATCAAGATGAATGCTATCATTGGCAAACCGTACTGGAGTACTTTCAAAATTATTGAAGAAGATAAACAATTTAAAAAGGCAAAAAGGACGGTGTGCTACTTGGAACTTGCAGAAAAATCAGATTCCCTTCATGATTTGAAAAATGCCATAGAAAGTGGTAGAGATAATAGATCGATTAATGATGATGGCAAGTCACAAAAGCTTTCGAAATGTGACATCCTCGAATTGAAAGACGCCGGCAAATCCGGACGAGAAATTGTTAGCTCCTTGATTGAAAATAATGCATCGTTTGCAGAAAAAACAGAATACTCACAAGAAAAATATATTAAGAAAAAAGAAAAAAAGTATTGTCAATTTTTGTCTGTTCATAGGCCCACATTAGCTGCTCTTCAAGAAATATATCAAAGGCAAGATCCACAAAAAATTTACCATCTCCGAATGGATACACTAGCCCAGATTTTTTCATACTGCAATATCCAGGCTGATGGTATGTACATGTTATATGACAGTGGAACAGCTGGTCTTGTACCTGCTGGTATGTTATCAAGAATCGGTCAGAACACATCTGGTAATTTAATTTATCTTCATTCTGGAGATCATCTTCCGCAAATGCCAATTATCAGAGCCATGAATTTTCCTCAAGAACAGTCTGACAGAATGACGACAGTGAGCATATTTGACTTTTTAAGAACTTTTGGAAATAATGAATCCAAAAATCCTATTGTGATAAATGATACAATTCATGAAAATTGTAGTAACGGTAACAATGAAGTTGAAATGACTGAAACACCAATATTGAAAAGTGAAAATAAAGTTGAAAGTGAACAAGACAAAGTTAATACGGAAAACATCAATGATTTGAAAAGAAAAAATGAGGATAATTTATCAAGTGAAGAACCAGTTTTGAAAAAATCTAAAAAAATTCTTGACTTAGAGCAATCTATGGATCTTATATCAAAATCCAAAGCTGATAGTTTGGTTGTTATTGCCAAAGAACATCCATTGAACATTGTAACTAAACTATTACCATTTGTCAAGTCTTCAAGACCTTTTATAATTTATCATGCTAGTCGAGAACCATTGCAAGAAACATACATTGCTTTGAAACAAAATAGCAGTACTATTAATTTAAGATTATTTTCAAGCTTTTTGCGCTCCTATCAAGTTTTAGAAGAAAGGACACATCCAGAAATAAACACAAATAATTGTGGAGGGTACATATTAACTGGTTACACTATAAGCTAGATATATTTTTAGAAATATAAATACTTTTAATCTATTGTAAATTTGTAATAATATTCTCTTACTGGTAAGAGATTTATCAAATAATTTTTGTATCTAACTTTTTTGATACATTGCATTGTTGTAAAATAAAAATTATTCAAATTAATAATAATTTTTAAGAAATTATTTCATCAAAATCTTGGAAGGCATGCTCTGCATCTATCTTCTCTTTTCTGATCAAACGACTGATGATTGCTGATCCTAGACTGTCAGCTATAATATTTACCATAGTTCTAAACCGATCGCTACAAAATAGTTTATAATTATTTTTTCATATTTTAAAAATAGTAGGAAATTATTTAATATTAAAAAAGCACTCTACATGAAGCTATCAACTGCAATTATGAGTGCAACATCTTCAGCAGGTATTCCATAAGCATTTAATACCATAATTAGCATTGGATAACCACCACTAGGTATTCCTGCAGCACCAATACATGACAATGTGCAAGTAATACTAAAAATGAAATAAAATTATTTGTATTAATCGTGTTTTCTGAAATTATTGACAATAATTTTCTAAAGTAGTTTTTCTACGTTTAAGGAATGACGATAAAACGTCAAGTGGGAAAATTTTCGAGAAAATCGTTACTTAAAAATTTCAAAAAATGCTTTCCAACATTTGTCAAGAGTTCGATACACTTGTAACATTAATAAAAAATTAATTTTGACGATGCATACCTGACGGCTGCAGTTTGAATTAGCGATAAATGAAACCCTCTCATCTGCATGATGAAAATAGCACCAACGGTCTCGTATAAAGCTATGCCATCCAAGTTTATGGAAGCACCGATCGGAGCAACGAAGCGCGAGACTTTCGGATCGACTCCAAGTTTGTCCAAGCATCTTATTGTAGTAGGAACCGTCGCAGTGCTGAAAAATGACATTTTCATCAACATAATATTACATATGGGTCATTATTCTCCTAAACTATGACGTATACCTCGAAGAAGTACCAAAGGCCGTAACGAGGGCCGGGCCAAGGTTCTTTATAATTTTGTAAGGCCAGCGCGCCATCCAGATGAAGTAAATCAGCGGCAAAAGTAGCAGGGCCTGTATGGCGAGGCCCAGCAGGACCGTCGCCACGAACACGAGCAACCGCGTCAATTCCGTTTGAGTTTCTTCGGTGCGTAACAATTTGCTCGAGATCAGGAACACAACGGCGATTGGTGCGCTTCTGCAAGACGTTGGCCGATTTTTCATTTATGCTCCGCTTTTTGTCGGACGAGATGAAAATTTATTGAACATACTTGATGACGGCATCGACGATTTCGCCTGTGGCGGCCGCTAAGCTTTGGAAGAAGTTTTGCAAGGGTAGCTTTTGTTCGGCCGGCATTTTGCTCAAGGCCAATCCGAATACTAAGCTGAAGAATACCAAACCCAAGACATTCGTGCCCGATGTATATTCGTGAGATATGGGCAAATCGTATACTGCAATGCCGTTTTTATAATAATAAATATAACATAAGAATTTAAAATTCAAACAATTTTCAATTCTATGGGATTTATTATGTCCATCCTTTGTAATAAATTTGAATTTTCAGATTGCCATAATAAAAGCTCATAAATATTTTACGTGTTTGGTAAAAAATGCAATTATTTATTTTTTATTCTGAAAGTTGCGAATTGCAGATGGCAATAAAAAAATTCAAAAATTCATGTAACTATTTTACCATTTTGATCAGTTGTGTTTTTCTTGAGATCAATCAAAACTGTTTGAAACTGAATGAAATAATAAACTTTTAGCTGTGATTTTCGGTTGTCAGAATTTCTACAGATCGATACTCACTTGATATAAGCACGCTTGAATTAAATTTTCTGGTAACAAATTTCTAAAAAAAATTAAGTTCTCATATCAGTGTAAAAAATTAATTTTAGGTATTCAGTCAAAAGGACCTTGCCAAATCAAGAAATGCATCCGCAGTTGTAAAATTGACCCGGACGAACGAATTTTCTTGCTCTTCGTCATCGTCCGTATAATCAAAGTTGCCCAGGTAATCGATTTCGGAGCCCCATTCACCCGGCCGAATTGACAAAGTTAAAGTAATGCTCAGAAGTATTCCTACTGTGGAGGTGACGATGTAATAGAGCAATGTTTTTGAGCCAATTTTCCCTGCAATTATAGTACGTTTTTTTTTAACAGATAATATACACTTTAATTTCATGCATACCTCCGGATTGTTCCAAATTTGAACTTGCACTTATGATACTCGATAAAACCAGTGGTAATATAAGACAATTGACAATTCTTAAAAAAAGTTCCCCAGGAAATAGTAAATACATCATATTTCGTTCCGTCCAAGGTTGTGCTGTAAACATTTTGAGCGTGAATCCCAGAACAACACCAGTACTAACTCCGATTAAAATTTGAATGGATGCTCCTAATTTCCACATTGTTTACACTTTTTAATTAAATAATAAAACAACCTTTTGCTTCAATTAAAATTTATAGCAAGATTTAAAGGCGCACTTAACTTCAGTAATACTACTTAAAATTACAACGATTTCATCTATCAATTAGTACTAGCGTTTTAAAATAATTTTTTGTTAACACATTAGAGTTCTAGACAATTATCTAATGGAAATTGCATCTACGAACTTCGTTCACTTTTCACCTGCGTCAAAATCATAATTCAATCACGGCATCCGATAAGCCGGTTACGCGATAGTGAATAATCGTTAAGACAATAAACTTGTGTTTCGCTTCTTTTTCTTACTCTCTACTTGTGATTACAATAAAATAATAAAACATTCGCAACACCTACGCAAAATCAGAAATTTATGTATTTTTGAATCTGTGATTACTTGTGAGAAACTATTTTAAGATAAGATTTGTAAAAATGAACTTAATAAAGCAACAATGTAATGTTACTACAGATCATTAACTAATTAGTTGAAGACGTCTTTCTGCAATTGGTGAAAACTTTGAAATTATTAAAGGACTCTTTTATATAGATTATTTCTATACTCCAGAATTATTTATGACCAAAGTAAGGAAAATTTCACAATTAACTTTAACTTATTGGCTTATAAAAATTAATTCAACTCTTTGTTTAAAGTAAATAAAACTCAAAGTAGCCATGGAATAAAATTGAACATTTTTTATTTGCCACATGGTTTGAGTATGTACATTTATCACTAACCACCTCAAAGGCAGTATAAATGATCTTTGATCAATTCATTTTTTTAAAATGGAATGAAAAATTAATATTCGATCTTTTGCTTATTCGTAGATCCATTTCTCGGCCCACGAAGCCCAGTCAACAACCTCCTTCTTCTTCTCATCACCGAACCACAATTTGATTTCCTTGTTTGCTGAATCAACAGAGTCTGATCCATGAATAATGTTGCGTCCAACCTGGATGCAGAAATCTCCACGGATGGTACCTGGAGCTGAGTCTTTAGGGTTGGTTTCACCAAGCATAACACGGCCAGTTTTGACAGCGTTCAAACCTTCCCAAACCTGTAAAACAAATTATTTTTAAAGAATTAGTATTTGATTAAGTATTAGTTTCAACATATCTCAGCACTCAAATAACATTACTTGGAAAAAATTTGTATACGTGTATACAATAACATTGATTTTAAATTCAGTACATTTGATAGGCTATTACATAACAGAGATTTTTAAAGGGCTTCTTCTCAACATTGAAGATCAATTCAAGTTTACCTTGAGAAAATATACATTGTAAATGAGTGTGAGAGCTTCGTTTTTAAATACTTAAACATTTTCTTACCATGGGTACGACTGGACCAGAGCTCATGTACTTGATGAGACCTCCGAAGAATGGTTTTGAAGAAAGATCAGCATAGTGCTCTTTCAGAAGGGATTCAGTTGGCTAAAATATAAACAAAATTTATAAATAATGATTATTTATTGAAAAGCATATTGAAGGGTCTTGTCTATGAATACTTCAATTTCTGAAATAAACACCAGTCTTATATAGATAAACTGAAAAAACCGCCGAAAAGAGAATAGTGCATATTTATGAACATTTACGTCCAGATACGTGGCAATGGTTTTCATGGGGGTAGGGAGTTCATTTCGGTACGTACCCAAACCATCTTCATGGCGACGAGCTTGAAGCCTTTATTTTCAAATCTTTGGATAATTTGACCAACGAGTCCACGTTGGACGCCATCAGGCTTGATCATGATGAAGGTACGCTCTTTGTTGTCAGTCATTTTGGAAAATTAAGGATTTTTACTTGTGACAAGTTAGATTGAGGAGATGCGTTAGCAGATGCCGGCTAGCGTGAACTGGCCGAAGAAGCAAACGGAAACGGAAAAGTATGTTAGTTCGCTGAGCGTGGCTCTGCAAGTAATATTACATTTACAGCACGTGCGGTCACGTTTCGTGACGAAGGTTTTCGTTTCTTAGACATGGCGCGTAAAATGTCGGTCTATATCTGCTCTCTCTAGTCCCTGGGGAGCTGCATAACTCGAATATCCAATTATATTGAATTAGCTTTACTGCAAGTAGTGCAGATAACGCATCGAGTGTATCTATCCGTAATAAAATGCTGTAACACGAACAAAATTACTGATTGTCGAAGGAGAAACTAAAATAGCAATTTGAACTCATAAAAAACAATAATATTTCAAATTATTCACTAAAGCGTATATTTAAGATTTAGGAAAATAACATTTTAATAATTTAAATTATTAAAGAATTTCATATTGAAGAGTTTGAAAAATTAGAAAAAGCCAAAATTTTCTTTGAAATCTTTCCATTGACACATAGAAAACGATATGAATCGAGCTTGTAGTAAATAATCTATCAAAGTCAGATATATCGAGTATCTGAAACTTGGATAAATAAGATTTATCTTAGACCAATCAAAGCTCTTTGTCATACTCATCAGCAACGTTGTTTGACCATTATGAGCTATATTTTCTCTTCCGATTTCGACGAAAAAACTTCCACCTCCCAACGAAAATTACTCATAAAAGTTATTTAAAAACGTCTATAAAGATTTTCCTATGCTAAACTGATGTTTTACTCATAAAGAACGGAGAATTAAGCTATTTTTTCAGAGGTTTCGAAATACCGTGAGAATACAGTAAAAGAAAATGTGGTGAATACTAAAATTTCCAAAATCAACAAAATAAGAAATTTGCATTAAATACCGAAACCAAAGTTAAATCGGAAGTGTTCAATCACGTTTACCAGGACTGTCACTGAATAATTGTCGTAGAAACAACGCAAATGTCTTTATTTTATGATTTTCCAGATATTTACACATTTTTTAGAAATTATTGAAAGGAAATATTGGGAAACGTGCTTAAAAATTTTCATTTCAGTCTTGACTCGTCAAGCAATCAAAACTGATTACAAAAAAGTCCGGTTTCGGTCAGAATTGGCGTAAATCTCGCCTTAAAAAAATCATATTCTTCATTTATTGCGACCTCTCAATTAGATGTCACAAATTTATTTTTACACGTTAACTTGAAGTATTGTTTTGTAGAAAACCCCGCATAACATTATCGCATTTGTTTCTGGTAAATTTCCACTCGATCGACGAGCTTTGCCGACGACTAGTGCCATCGGTCAGGCGGCGAGTCAAAAGCGAACTGTTTAGAATCACGCGTGCGCGTCTTGCCTCTCTCGAGCGAATTCTTGCAGAATATCATAGGCTCCTCTCTTACCGCTTAGCGAGAAATCGCACAATTTGCGATCGCACCGCCGTCGCAAAGTAAGGTCCACCACCACACGCGAGAGTCCGTGCAACTGACTAGATGCGCGACCCACGTTGAACTCCGCACGCGATAACAATCGCAGCACACGATGTGAGCGAGAGAGAAGAGATTCAGTAGTAAACAGTTGTCTCGCTCGTTAGCGCTAGCTCGCCTCGTCCTCTGAGCGAGTCTGAATTACAAAGTAAGGATTATTATAATAGTTTCCGAGCGAGTGATTTTTTTTTCTATAAAAAGCTCGAAGCTTCTCGAGTTGATCATTGGAAAACTGACGGGAGAGTACATCTGTGTCGATTCACTATAACCTCCATTTGACGGGACTTTTTGCATAAAAGTAACGAGAGGACTCGCTGTGCGCGATCGAGTGCAACTTCAAGGAAGTCAATATGCAGTCGCAGCAGCAGCAGCTTTCGACAGGACAGATGCAACAAATCGCCGTGACCGATACCGGTGTCGTCATCAAAATGAACGACACGGTCGTGCAACAATTATCAACGATCGGTGAGTCTTTGTTATTGTCGTCTCATAAAATGGCCAAAAATCATCGCGACCTGTATATATTTGTGTAACACGCCTGCCTTGAGCTTCGACGTCTCTGCCTCGCGCCGTTCTTATTTCGGTGCTGCTCTGCGGCGCTTGAAATTTTTCCATGCGCGCAATCCGCTCATCGCCTTGTGGCTGTGTGCTCGAGCCTCGTCTCTGTGTGAGAGGGAATACGTGTGCACTGCGCAAGTGTGTGTGTGTGTGTACCGTACGGATGTGCGATCCAAGAGAGCAGTGTGCGTCTGCACTTAGGTGTATCGTAATACATACGTGTATGATCAGCTGATCGTATAATATGCTTCGAGACATGAGTAGCCCGAATTCTGTGGAAGTTTTTGAGGAGCGAAAAAGGAGAAATCTTTGATCGTGCATCGAAGCTTGTAGAATAAGATACAATTTTTTCTACGACTTTTACGCGCATCACTTTCGAAATTTCCGCTCGTCGATCTCTAATAACGAGGTCGATTTCAAAAATATGATTCCGATAGGTACAGATGGAAAATGCAGTCGATGCCCAACTGCATAGAGCGAGATAATGTTAAAAAGGTCTACGCTGCATCTCATCGATCGATTTTATTTTCTAATTTAACGTTCGGTTGCTCTTGATGGGCTATCTCTTTTCAATACTGACTCATGCGGAGATTGCGCACCACCGTGTTGTCGACGTACAAGTCATATAGACATGTTATACACTTACATCATGCAGCCACACATACGAGTGCATGCATAAGTAAACATATACGAATGCATATGCGTGTCGGAGTGTTTACGTATGTATAGATAGGTGCATGTATTACACATGCATTTCTGCTTATAAGTGACAAAAGATAGGGCGACTCGCATACACACTGCACTGCTGCACTTCGCAGCTCGCTCATAGTGCTCGGCTCCGTGTGTCCGCAGTGAATTCATTATAGTCGCACGTCGAGCACAGCGTATCGCGCGACCAGACAACCCAAAGTGTGTAATGAAGCTCGATAAACTCATTGTGTTTAAGCTCGCGACTTGAGCTTTTACGGCAAAATTTTGCTATATGAACCGCTGCTGGTATTATTAGCCTTCGTGCCGATGGGGGAAAAGCAGCAGACGGAAGATAGTAAACCACCAAAGAGCAAAACCATAAGCGGTAAAAAAACAACCCTTACACTTATGCACAATAATTGTTTCTCGCTGATGAAATTCATGACTCGCTGTTGCACCAGAACGTACACGAATGTTTTTTTCCAGTGTATTTTCGACCCTTCTTTGCATAACGAGCGTTGACATTGTTTTTTTTTTTGTTCACCTGCACGTATATGAGTTTCGTTAATTACAAAACCCCCCTCGAGTAACAAATAATAGTTAAGCGATCGATATGCTACCTACTTTTTGTATTATGCATTTGCGCATCAAGATGTAATATAGCAAAACATAACCTTTCGTCGATCATTTTTTATTTGCTCTTCAACTTTATCAATATCAACGCATACGGTTACATGTGCATGATGGCGTATAATTGCTAAATAATTCGGGACGACGATGAATCGAATAGTTTTTGTTTCTCTTAAACTCGTCAAATGTGCTCAAATAGCTTGATTATTCATGTCAAGTTAGTATATTTTACAAATACGATTTTCTTTCATTGTACTTCGCGAACCGCATCAAAACAAGTACTATGATTTATTAGGCTTACTTCCATATTGATACCTGTTGATCTGAAGTGTTATTTTTCATGATGTAACACCCCTTGATATATAGCGTATTTGTGAAATAAAAAAAGGCATCGTTCGTGAGTTTAACATCAACAAAAATATGGTAATACCCAGACAATTATTTGTATGAAAGTGACAACTACGATATTTTTCGTTTGCGCTTACACATCATATTAAATTTTGTAAGGTCAAGTTTTTAGATTTTTCTATATCCAGTTTTTTATTTACTGTCGAATTAAAATTGCAATTGAATTAATAATAATAACATATTTATCACCTGTGGTCTTTTTTTAGACAAGTTAGATTAAATAAAAAACAATCGAGTACTTGAAACAAAATCGATTCGTTCTCTTGGCGTAGTCATTCGAACTCCGTATCTATGCAAACGCATCTCAATTTGACATTAAGTTTTTACAAAAAATATATAAGCATGAATGATTAAATCACATTTTTGTCACAAATCACGCGCGCAATGTAGGCTTCAAGTTCGAAAGAAATGAATTTCTTTATATCCCCACACAAAGTTTTTATTTAATATTTTCAGTGTACAAATATCGGTATAATAAATGACATGCATTAAAGAACGATATTTTAAATTTAAAAAAATGGGAATATTTTAAAAACCACGATTCGTCGTTTTATCGAAAAAACATACCTGTTGTATATTGTAACAATATGTGTTACTACAATCCTTTACTTTACAGACACTTTATTTTTCATATAATATTATCGTAACTGTGAGTCATCTCATTAATCTATGATTTTCGAATTCATCAATGAAAATTATTGAGCACGATGCCAGGCTAACAAATAATTGATATTATTTTTTCGCGAATGTCCTTGCATTGAATGAAAATTAACTTTTCAAAATAAGAGTTTCATCTTACATTACTTATTCACGTTGATACTGCTAAAATTGTATTTGAATTAAACGTTTAACCACTTTTCAATGCAATGAATTTTAATTAAAATCATGATAAATTTTTCTTATTTGAATGCTTGTACCATAATTTAAGTAATTTAGTTGAGCAGTTTTTTGGCATTCCTAGACAATTCATTTTCATGTCAGTACTATTTTTATAGAATGATGTGTGGAAGCGAACTGATGTACTAGCTTACGGGTATTAGAAATCGTAGCATCTGCTATGGAAAAGTACTGATCTGTATAGTCTCGTTTCAAAGTTGGTAGTGGGATTCTGTATTCAAATCACCGAAAAGTCCTTTGTTGGATTTGAATCGATTCCTACAAAGACCTTGGGGGTGTACCTCTCTTTTTTTTTATTAAACATTTTCAAGTCCTTCGAGTTATGTTCTATTAACGTTTAAACAATTGTAGCATAGACGCAATGGCCGTAGAATAAATTTTATCGCTCTTGAATTTTGATGCTCATGGCCACCCCTTGGCAAGGATACTACCGTACCTATGCATTTGATTGTATGAGTGTGTGTGTGTGTGTGTGTGTTCCTGGTATAGCATAAATGTATTTGGTACAAGAACGAAAACCGGGCTTACGAATACATATATACTCTAGAAGTTTCGCTTACAAAACGACTCCTTTCTCCCCTCAAAGCCGCGAGCAGCCGGAGCTGCTGCTGCCTCGACGCGCTTCACAAAGAAGTACACCGCTGCCGCTGCCTCTGCCCCGCGACTATTGGCCCTCCCCTTATTTCACGTTCCCCCGTACGTACGATATATATGCGTGTCTGTGCGGTACAGTGCCTGTGCGAGCAGTACGTAGCATCGATGGTCGCCGCCGCAATACGCTCCGAATGCGTGTGTTCTTTCTTCGCTCCGACTACAGTCTCATCAGAGCGTATAGCTGTTAAAAGCTGTATAATTTCCAGTCCCGCCAGTGTTCGAGTTGAACGTTGATCGCGCGCGCGCTGAGCAATCTCCGCTCCGAACTCATTAGCATTTTTATACCCGAGTGCAAGAGACTCCGAAAAGGAGACGCTGTTTTCTGCTGCCCGCTCAACCGTAACAGTCGAACGCCCTTGGACAGTCTGTGTTTTTGTGAGATTTTTCGCTGACGCTCACCCGGATCGTGGTAAAGTACTTCTACGTGGGGAGCCCGCCGTCACTGGTCTTCCGACCGTTGCAGTGGTCGTTCAACAACGTCTTTATGAGATTGCATTCGGTAACGATTGCATGGCAGACAGTTATCAGTGATTTTCCCTAGACGGATCGAGCAGTGACAAAAGGACTAGTATATTGTTTATCCAAGTTTTTTAAACTTGACAGCTCGATCGTACGACCGTGCTGAATGGTCGCTGTCGTGTATGCAACGGTGCCGAGCGAGGTTAGGAGTGGCAACGGCGGCATGAGCGCACGCGTCATGGACAAGACGAACGGTCTCATGAAGACGACGGCCGGTGCATCCGGCCGCCAGGTCGTCGAGGCTACGGCCACCCCGCTGCAACACCAGCAGCAGCAGCAACAACACCAGCACCACAGTCCCGCTGATTGGCAGCATCAGCAGCCCAATCACCATCATCAGCAATTGCAGCCCCAGCAACCCTCCCAATTGCAATCGGCCAATGGGGTGTCCCAAAATCTCATGCTCGTTTCTCAAGATGCCCAGGGGAAAGAACTTATTACTGTCACTGATGAGCAGTCAGTTAATGGTGTCAACGTTGTCCTTGATTCATATTGTTAGTTTTCAACGTTATTTTTCATCTTACTATAGAACTATTGCTAGGAAATTAATCAAATGATATATATAAAATCTTTTATACATATCTTATAATTCATTTACAAAAAAGTTAACATGACATTAAATATTATTCAAGTAATAATTTTTTTTCTTTTTAAATACTTGTATAAATTTAAGTATCAGAAACAAAATCTATTGATACTTTTTTATGCTACAACAAAAATTAAACATGTTTTATCTAAGATTTGTTTATTAATAATTACATGAAATTTCAGGGTTACTAGAACTTGCACACAGAGAATATCAAGCCGGAGATTATGACAATGCCGAAAGGCATTGCATGCAGTTATGGAGACAAGAAAGTAACAACACTGGAGTGTTACTTTTACTATCTTCTATACATTTCCAATGTCGTAGATTAGATAAGTGAGTTAAATTATTCAACAATTTTTATTGCAAATTGTTTATTATTGTCAAAACAAATTAAAAACTATTTTTCTTTTTTCTTAAAGGTCTGCTCATTATAGTAGTTTAGCGATAAAACAAAATCCATTGCTAGCCGAAGCATATAGCAACTTGGGAAATGTATATAAAGAAAAAGGACAATTACCAGAAGCTTTAGAAAATTATCGACATGCTGTACGATTGAAACCTGATTTTATTGATGGATACATTAACTTGGCTGCAGCATTGGTAGCGGCTGGAGACATGGAACAAGCAGTTCAGGCATACGTTACTGCATTGCAGTACAATCCAGTAAGTATACAATTATTAAATTATTCACTTAAGTAAATTATTTAGAAGAAAAGAATATTGGAATATTAAAATATTTTTTATAACTCAAATCAAGTAGCATTCAAAATTTATTTTTTTAATACTACAAAAAATTAAATACATTAATAAAATTTCACTTAAATTTTTTTTAACTTATTTAGAATTTCAAAAGTTATTCAACTTTACTTAACGATATTAATTTTTTTTAGGAACTCTACTGTGTCAGAAGTGATCTGGGTAATCTTTTGAAAGCATTAGCAAGACTCGACGAAGCAAAGGTATGTCTTTATCATATATAAGTGATATCAAATATATTTTACTACAAATCAATTCATGCATGAACATTGAAACTCTAAAAATTAAAGCCAATTTTTGTACTTTCAATTGAAAGTTTTTAGATATGTAAATTCATGTACTTCCAAAATGAAATGAGTTAAAAAATGTTGATGCATACTAATCGTGTAATACAACTGGGATAATTCAAAGGAATGAATAGAGTATGAAAGTTCATGAAATATGTTCCTGCAGAAAGCTCCTTTTGTTAACTTTTTAAAGCACGTGTAGCGAACAATCATTTTCATTCAGTCTCGTGATTAATGCCATTATATACCCATAATGATTTATAATATTCCAGCATTGATATTGATTCTGGGTTGCAGAATCAAACTTTTCTTCTGAATATATTCAAGTATATTGCATATAACAAACATTCAACAAAACTTAATGGATTAAATTTCAATGTAAATCCAGTAAGATACAAGAAAATTATTAATTTTAACCATTCAAAATCATATGCAATACTTGATTTAGACTTCATTACCACTATTTTGGCATAAAGATCAACTAATTTATGTTGTTTATAACTCTTCTTTGAATACCACAACTGATTTGTGGGCCTATTTAACATTACTTGTTAGTTTACAATGTTTGTTTACTATTGAAATTTTAGTTTTTACAAAATCGGTTTTTTAACATTATAAAACCACTTGAAATTTATAAGTTGATCTTTTACATAATAGTGGAAATGAATTATAAGGTTTTGAAGCTGTATGAATTTTAAAAACAGCAAAAAAACCATTAATGGCATTACGGGTAGCTTGCTTCAGTGTCCTTTTTATTGTTAAAATTGTTGACCTGTTGCAAGCTTTTCGAATTAACGTTCCGCCGATCTTATTTACTCAAATTTTTTGATAATTTAAATTTTCTGTAACCTTAAACGGTACAAGCATTGAGCTAAAAAGAAATTCATAATATGCTGAATTGTTTAGTCTAAAATAGGATCGGCCACGTGCTATAGCTTTTAAGTTCACGTAGGCTACCCCCTTTCATTTCTCATTGACAGTTTTTACAGCACCTTTATCCTTTTTGTAATTCCCAAGGTTATAGTTCTTTAAATCATAAATATTTAATTAATGCAAGACTATTTGGCTATTTTGAGGAATTAGTTATAAAAATTAATCATCATTAAATTTAGTTTAAAGAATTCCATTAATCTTGTATTTTTGTTTTTAACTTTCAAACTTATGTTTGTTTTTTGAGAATAATGAAAAAATGCAGATGGTGTAATTTTTGAATAATTGAAGTTGAATTGCATACTTTTTTTTTAAATACGATAGGATTTTATCTTGAACAAGGAAATTTGAGTGAAACTATTTTTTAAATGAATAAATAAACTTTTTAAAAAGAAATCGATGAAATTTATGTCATGATTGTAGTCAAGTAGTCTATTTAGTCGTGAAATCGTAAATCGAATGCGTCCCAGGTATCTTTTCATTGTAGAACAATGATAAAATTGAAAAAAGTTTGAGCGGGAATGAATATTCGAAAGGCAGTCAATAAAATGTTATTGATTGTATTAAGATTGATGCGTGGGCGCATTTGGGGTATTTTTCATCCTTAGGCTCAGCATCTACAGTGACGAAGGAAGTTTTCTGCTACTCTTCGAGTCATTCCTTTGGGCTAGCTAGTTCTTAATCGTAATCCATTTTTTTAAACTTTTCAGCCATGTAATTGATATATGATGTAAATTTCTTTCTTTTCTTGTATGAAATAGTAAAGTTTCAAAAAAGTACCCATAGAATGCAATTGTTAATCGGTTAAATTTCTCCGAATTTATAATGTTTATTCAGATACGTTCATCGCGAACTTCGTACCTTCAAATAAAGAAAATTGTTAGTCAGTTTTGCTTAATTTTGGATTTGAAAATGTCATGGACCTTCAAGTACTTTGCTTAAAGTGCACGTCGGTATATAACAATTATTTAAACATGAAATCGTAGACTGGAAAATAAGAAATGACATAAAGATTTGAATCAAATTAATATTAATCAAGTTTGTGTCTTATTGTCTTTTGTGGACGGTTCAACAAACGTCTATCTAGGAATTTTCAAGAAATTCGACTGCAGGGCTGAGAACAACGGTTGTTTCCTCGAGATGAATCGAGGTGCAGTTAAAGCCGCATTATGTGAGCGTTCGTACACATGATTATCGATAAAGATTAATAATCCAGAGCTTAAGTATGTTCGAGTCCAGATCTAGAGCCGTGCCTACTGTCAATCTTCTGGTACTTTGAAGGTAAAGTAGTTACCCGAGGCCGGTCTCTAGTCTTTCTTCATGACTCCTACAGTCAGAATTTTTGATAATCCTTTTTTTATTATTAAGGCTTTTATTTTTTTTGTTTTTAAACTGTGAATTGTTAATGGTTGGTAATTTTAATTTTTCGAGCAACCTCGAGATGACAGGTTTATTCGTATCTACATTGTAGATAAGAACAACAAGTCTCGTTGAATTAAGTTATCATCGGCAAAAAATTTTCATTTTTTGTTAAACAATGTGCAAACGTCCATTACGATAACTTTGTATGAACAATATAGCGCGATTGGCTTGCTGAAATAATTGAAATTCAATTTCGATTACTTAGAGATCGGCCAACCAAGACTCCCAAAATTATTTTCATGTTTTAGGTACGGATTACACTGAAACTTTTATACATTACAGCGTCCATTTGGCAATTCTAAGCAGAGTCGAACAAACATCCTTTACAGGATCGTCACCGTTTTTTTCTCTTTTTTTACTAATGATTCGAAATTTAGATAGCATTACACTAAATGAGGATATCAAGGCACATGCTGGGAAATTTTTGTTCTTAATTGACAAAATTCTCAGCATTTCAACGTACGTGTGACGAACCTGAGAGGTGTCTGTTTTCACCGAGGCAGACTAATAATTAAAAATTACCTAAATAATTGAAGATTATAATATTTTTTTATGTTGGAGAGAAGTCGACATCGAAAAGAGAGATCACTTTTCAGAAAGATGAATAGTTCTGTTCATGAATGGACTTGAACGATTGTTAAAATTTTTTATCTTTCTTAAGTATTAAAATACTGACTGATAAAAACAATCAAAATATATCCGCTTGCATTCGTTACATTTGTGATTGCCTTGACTTTTTTCTAATTTTTGTTAAAATGTAATTCAATTTTAATGACGTCAAGAATACTTCAATTCAATATTGAATATTTTATCAAAGATCAAACGCCTTAATTTTCACAAAAGAAAAATTCATTTAGGTTTATTTATATTCGCCGGATTAATATTTGGACCAAAAATGTATTTTTATATACAATAATCTAAAGAAAAAGTAAAACTAGAACTATTGTCTGGCAAAAGCAAACGTACGAGAATTACCAAAATTTGGTGCTGATGATCCCATTGAATTAGTGAACGCTACAACACACGAAGAATAAAAATTACATCAATATTTTCTTTCTTCTTTCTCTCTCACGACTTTTCCAGATTTTCGGAACATTTTTTTAATTTTATTTATTATCGTATTCTCTGCTTATATATATATTCATTTCGCTTTTTAATTTCGTGGGAAAGAACATTATTGATCGTAGCGTAACCACTAATGAACAATTTTTCTTTCCAGAAATACATTCACGGTCAGTGTTGATGATTCGATGTAAAAACATTTTTGTTACACAATATTTCTTATTGATTCAAGGATTAACAGGAGCTGCAATCAATAATTTTTTTCCTTCGATCACAAACATTTTAAATCTTTGAATCTCTCAATTAACAATAGTTCTTAAAAGGATAACTTTGATCATATATAATTTTAAGTGATAAAGATAATGATTTTTATTTTATTGTTTGACTGTTATTAATAATTGAGGTAACAAAGATTTAAAATGTTGTATATTATATGAAACTAACTGAGCTGAATTAAATTAAAATAATCATTTGATAATCACGAAAAATACAATATTGATAATTCATACACAGATATGATTAATGAAAATATGAAAACCTCGTACGAAATTTTAACTAATCTTTATCAATTTTCGTTTTTTTTTTTTCGTTACTTTCCATTCGTACAACGATTAGGCATGTTATTTGAAAGCAATCGAAACTCGACCGGACTTTGCTGTTGCTTGGAGCAATCTAGGCTGTGTATTCAACGCACAAGGAGAAATTTGGCTGGCTATTCATCACTTCGAAAAAGCTGTAGCTTTGGATCCAAACTTCCTTGATGCATACATAAACTTGGGAAATGTTCTTAAAGAAGCACGCATCTTCGACAGGTCAATAATAATTCAAATTAACACTATTCAATGAATTGCAATAAACACGTATAAAGAAGTTTACTTAATTATCAATGCAATAATGGTTTTCATATCGAAATCAAAATCTTTGAAGATAATAGTTTTTATACGCGATTCAAACCTTTGGAAAGTTAATTTTTTTTTTTTACAAAAAGTGCACAGTTTGATCAACGGCTGTCCAGAAATTATCTTTCATTCGACAACTTGTTATAAACCTGTGCCAAATTATATTTGACTCTAGTTATTTTATCAATTTAACTACGTATTGATAATAGTCATGAGTCAGACAGTTTTTTTCGAAAAATTGAATTATAATCGATTTAAATTTTTTAACTATTTTCTCGTAAAATCTATGAAATAGGTTTTCGTATGTTTATGAAAATACGATAAAACTTACATTAGTTTTTTATTATTATTATTTTAATAGTTGCCTTAATTTTTAAGATTTATATCAATTTCGGACTTCAATAAAAATAGATCTTGCTCTGTTGCAACTACTTGTAAATTTTAGATTAAAAAAAATTGTTTTCTTCCATTATATGTATTCATATGTTATTTAAATGTATGTACAGGGCTGTTGCGGCATACTTACGAGCTCTCAATCTTAGCCCAAATAATGCAGTTGTGCATGGTAATCTTGCTTGTGTCTACTATGAACAAGGGTACGTACATTTTTATTTTTCTATTTTGAGTAGACCAGCGAAATCAAATAATTAGTTGAGAAAAAAGTTGTATAATAATAATAATTATATCTTTCGTAGGCTTATTGATTTGGCCATCGATACCTACCGAAGAGCAATTGAATTGCAACCAAATTTCCCCGATGCATATTGTAATTTGGCAAATGCGCTCAAAGAAAAGGGTCAGGTGGCGGAGGCAGAAGAGTGCTACAACACAGCGCTCCGTCTTTGTCCCACACATGCAGACTCCCTTAACAATTTGGTAAGTTTATTTAGTTTGGTAAGTTTTATTTTTAAAATATATTGAAGTTCCCTTATTTCCAAGTTGCGTGGAATCTCGGTCTTGAGATTTTAAATGTTTGTTAGGATCTAAGCAGGAAAAAGCTGTAGCTACAACTCTTTTGTGAACTCTTGTAAAATAATTTTTCAAAATTAAAAACATGGTTTTTACGCTCGAATTTTCTCGAAAGGTTTTTCATTATATTTTATTATCACGTTTTAAATTTTCGCAATTTTTTTCATCTGAATAAACACGACTTTATTGCAAAAATGAAAAAAACAAAAGAGTCTCAAAATTTGTCAATGAAAACGTGTAAATTTTTTCATAATTTTTTCAAAACATTCTTGAAACATAAGTTCACCGTATTGGTTTTGGGATGGGGAAATCTTTTAGAATTTTTTACTTATAAAAGTCGTGTACAGATTTTTTCACTTCAAATTTTAATACCTTATGTATACTCTGTAACGAACTCATCGGAAGTGATTGAATTTTATAATTACAAGAACTTTTTACAATATTATGAAATAATTGAACTTTTGAAATTAATGAACATAAAACGTTTTTTCTTATCAGGCTAACATCAAACGAGAACAAGGATTTATTGAAGAAGCTACGCGTCTATACCTCAAAGCTCTGGAAGTATTTCCAGAATTTGCAGCAGCTCATAGTAATTTGGCTTCAGTTCTTCAACAGCAAGGAAAACTTAATGAAGCACTCATGCATTATAAAGAAGCAATTAGAATACAACCAACATTTGCGGATGCTTATTCGAACATGGGTAACACTCTTAAAGAAATGCAAGATGTACAAGGAGCTCTGCAATGTTATACCAGAGCTATTCAAATCAATCCAGCTTTCGCCGATGCTCATTCCAACTTAGCATCTATTCATAAAGATTCCGGCAATATACCTGAAGCTATACAAAGTTATAGGACTGCATTGAAACTAAAACCTGACTTTCCAGATGCTTACTGTAATTTGGCACATTGTCTTCAAATAGTATGTGACTGGACAGACTATGAAGCCAGAATGAAAAAATTGGTTTCGATAGTCGCTGAACAACTAGATAAAAATAGATTACCTAGTGTACACCCGCATCATTCAATGCTATATCCTTTATCACATGAATTTAGGAAAGCTATCGCTGCGAGACATGCTAATTTATGCATTGAAAAAGTAAGATTTTACATACATTTCTCAAATTATTATTTATTGCAATAATTATAAACATGAATTAAAATTTTATCAATGAAATTTGCTTTACAGATTATGGTTTTGCACAAACTCCCATACCAATACCCAAGAGAAGTAAACCCTCGTCTTAGAATTGGTTATGTATCATCTGATTATGGCAATCATCCCACATCACATTTGATGCAATCGATCCCAGGTTTACACGATCGAAATGCAGTCGAAGTATTTTGTTATGCTCTTAGCGCCGACGACGGTACCGCTTTCCGCAGCAAAATAGCTCGTGAAGCCGAACATTTCATAGATCTTTCTCAGTTGCCATGTAATGGGAAAGCCGCTGATCGTATTAATGCGGATGGCATTCACATTCTAGTAAATATGAATGGATACACTAAGGGAGCTAGAAATGAAATCTTCGCTCTAAAACCTGCTCCAATTCAAGTAATGTGGCTTGGATACCCTGGTACATCTGGAGCAAGCTTCATGGATTATCTAATTACAGACGAAGTAACATCGCCAATTGAACTTGCCAGTCAGTACAGCGAAAAATTAGCTTATATGCCACATACATATTTCATTGGAGATCACAGGTAAAACAAAGCTCGACCGTTCATATGTTTTAAAATGTAAGAATCTTGCAAAAAATAATTTCATCTTTTATTTTTACAGACAAATGTTCCCACATCTTAAAGAACGCTTAATACTTACGGACAAAGGAAAAGGCAGTAAGCTAGCGGACAATGTAGCTGTCATTAACGCAACAGATCTTTCACCAATGATTGAGAATACTTTAATTAAAGAGATTAAAGAAGTAATTGTACCCGAAGGTGCTAACAAAATAAAACCGTTAGAGATATCTATGAAAGTAGCAGAATTACCTACGACTACGCCCATAGAAACAATGATTGCATCTGGACAGTGCCAAATGTCTGTTAACGGCGTTGTTGTACAGAATGGAATGGCCACAACACAAGTCAATAATAAAACAGCTACTGGCGAAGAAGTGCCACAAAATATTGTTATAACAACGAGGCAACAATACGGATTGCCAGAAGATGCTGTTGTTTATTGCAACTTTAATCAGCTTTATAAAATTGATCCAATTACCTTACTCATGTGGGCTCATGTAAGTTTCTTTAATGCATTAAAATTTTTTAACAAAATATGCACAGTTTGATCAACAGCTGTCTAGAAATTATCTTTCACTCGACATTTTGTTATAAAGCTGTGCTAAATTATTATTGACTCTAGTTATTTTATCAATTTAACTATGTATTGATAATAGTCATGAGTCAGACAGTTTTGTCCTTGATCTAAAATTAGTACACAAATATTTTTTAGTCAAATACAATTAAGCAAATAACAATGATTTCATTTTCTATTTCAAAAAATTTCAGATCCTCAAGAACGTTCCGAACAGTGTACTATGGCTGCTGCGTTTCCCAGCAGTTGGTGAACCAAATCTTCAAGCGACAGCTCAACAATTGGGCTTAGCACCTGGACGTATACTTTTCAGTAATGTCGCTGCTAAAGAGGAACACGTAAGAAGAGGTCAATTAGCGGATGTATGCCTTGATACCCCTCTTTGCAATGGACACACTACGAGTATGGATGTACTATGGACTGGTACCCCAGTTGTTACTTTGCCAGGAGAAACTCTCGCATCGAGAGTTGCTGCAAGTCAACTTAATACATTAGGTTGTTCAGAATTAGTTGCTAGAACTAGACAAGAATATCAAGATATAGCTATTAGACTCGGCACCGATAAAGAATTGTAAGCTATGATTTAAAAAATTAAAAACTATAATTTTTTATCTAGTAATTAATTTTCACATTTTTTAATAAATCAATTATTCATTTCAGCTTGAAAGCCATTCGGGCTAAGGTGTGGAAAGCCCGCTCTGACAGTCCACTTTTCAACTGCAAAATGTATGCGACAGGCATGGAAATGTTGTACAGAAAAATGTGGGAGCGATATGCGCGAGGAGAATCTCCTGATCACATTGCCGCTATTGACAAAGCTGGTGGTCACAATAATGCGCATACCTCATAATCTATGTCAGATATAGTTTTTCAATACCAGTAAAATGAGTTTTGTGGGCTCATATGGTCTTCCTTCACTCACTATCTCTATCTGTCTAGTATTTTTTTTCTTATCTTTTTTTCCTTAACTATCATGTATGTATATTTTATGTATGAAATGCATCTATCCATATAATCACGTTAAAAAAAGAAGGAAGATAAGTCTCTAATTACTATTTAAATTAGTTCATAATTAGGATATTTTCTTGAAAGTAACTATGCGAAATTTTGAATTACGTAGATAAATTTTGCATCTGTTGTCATATTGCAAATAAAGCACTAGTGTTATAAAGCCAATTATATCGACAATCGACAGTTACATGTCTTTTAAGAGAATGATATTGCTATTTTTAGAATGACCATGAACATGCTATCAATTTTCATGCTTTGATGATTTTTTGAAGGAAAGACTGAGTCTAAACTTCTGCTAAACTAATGTTTTCATTATTATTCATGTATGTACACAATCACAATGTGATGATTTTGATCTAACTAAAAGTTTCTATGACTTATTGAAAACTTAAGTTTTCTTGTATGGTTGAGATTTTCCAGCAGAGATGCTGATTTATAATTCTAAATAGTTATTGCTTTTTTGAAACGCAAAGAATGCATCAATTCCAATGGGTGCAATTTCGTAAAATTGCTTTTTAGCGCGAGAGCACGAGTTGTTTAAGTTAAAACCCCCATAATTGTATAAATAGTACTAAACGTTCAGAATTACCCTTGTACATATAACTGATTAAATATAATTCTTAGTAGAACCTACATTAATTTTGTTTATATTTATTAGTTAACTAAGATGAATTGAGAATGTAAGAAGAATTACATCTTGATTGTACAATGAGTATTTAAAATTAAAAAATAAAGATATATGGTAAAAAAACAATGCATTATCTTAAGTATCATTTTCAATTATTTCACCTTGTATATTATAGTGTAAGAAACATATTTACCCAAAAACGAAATATGTTAGTTAATAATTAAAAAAAAATTTAATAACTTTTTTCTTTATTTAATGAGATAAAGTTTTATGTTTTAATTAATGAGACATTACGAATATCTTACACAAGTCAAATTTTCATTCTGTTGCTTATTCTATGCGTAAAAAATGAAGTAAGTTTTCACTCAGGGCAATTCACTAGAATTCTAGATTGGTACGCATGAATCCTATTGGAAGTGGTTTTCAGAATTTTTCAGGTAATTCGGCTAGTTTTTTAACCCATATTCAATTACAGCTACATTTTTTTCGTAGACTCGTTTTATGAATTTTTCAAGAACGGTTCGTGAAAAATAGATGAGGGTAAGAAAATTTGATACCTAATATTTATTGATAAGAGCTAATAATTTTTTATACCTTGAGCGATGGATCAAAGCAATTGACGATTTCCTTCATTTGTCACAAAAAATTTGGTTTAAATAATTTTCATTCATAATTTCTCGTAAGCTGCCAATTTTAATACTTACTGTTTCAATAAATTTTCTTTCGCTGTAATTAAACAAATATGCAAACTTGTCTGAAAATACATTTTAAACCATAATTATTCCATTCTGCATTGAATAATAGTAAACAGAAGTTTTCTGACTAAATTTGAAAAGTAAAGCCAGTCTTGGTTTGAAGTCAGGAAATGGAAAAATCATTCATATTTTTCACCTACAGAAGTAGTTAGACTTGCAGATTTGTTGCAAGCACAGGTTTGACATGCATTCAAATCAGCTATCGAGTATTGTGGGTCACGTTTTCTTGGTTCATTCATTTCTCAACTGTCATATATTGAAAATACGCAAAATATTAAATAAGTTGTGATTTTGGTTAATGGGCTAGATAAAAGTGGGCCGTGCAAATTTTTCACATGGCTTTCAGGTCACAGAAAAATCCTCAAGTACAATTAACAATTTACTATAACATATTATAGTTTCGAAAAACGATGCTTTTAACAGCAAAGTCTATTCCGAGTTATTTTTGAAATGTAAAAAAGTATCTCTTAGTTTAGCTCTGATTTTTGAATAAATAGTAAAATTGCCAAACTGGGTAAATATTTTATGTTAGTAAACGCCAAACGTTATTGTCGCAAAAGCTTTATTTTGTCTCATCTCTCAATGAACAAAACAATCGAGTCACTTGCAGCTTTGAGTATAAATAAGTTCATTTGAATTTTTTTTAACCGAAAATTGAAAGTATCACACCCAGATTTTCAGTTGAAAACGTGCATTTGAAAAAATTATAAATAAACTCAAAGCGATGATCTCTGCAGTGGCTAACCTAAAACATGTAAGTTCGTTGCTGTAGTTTAAAAAGCTGTCGGGATACGAAAGCTCGCTCGCAAACTCCGTGTACGCTGCTGTCTGCGTCTATGTGTATGCAAGAGAGAGAGAGAGAAAGAGAGAAGATGAGATTGAAGTTGTAGCTTGCACCAAGTATTGATTGCTGAAAAGTCGAGGCCAGATAAGCCGGGGTGGGGAGAAACTAGGTCGAAAGCCTCCGCCGTTATATACATGTAGACATTACTTGCCCTGTAGCCGCATTGGGCGCGTTACCCCTCGCGATGGCATTACTGCTGCTGCTGCTGCTGCTGCTTCTGTGTGTCGCGTTCACGATGCTTTTTAGATTTCTGGCAGTTTAGGAAAAGCCTACAAAAAAATCTTGCGAGCTTTTCACGTTTTGAGCGCTTATATCAGATGCTCCTTTGTTTTTTCATTTAATTTCATGGAGACATCGAGCTTTCTGCTCGGCTGTACGCGGAGCTTAAGGATTATAAAATATGAAGTGAATGAACATAACGCGGCAAACGTCATAACTTTCATTGTTCGCGATAGAGTATTCGCATTAAATTGATAATTGGGCCATAATAATGCGTATTATCGGAGCACATAGCTCCGAGCTCTCGGTAAATTTAGTCCCGAAACGCAAGCTCTGTCTTCCCTGCTGCCGAGCGCAGCGGTGGGCGAAATATCCTTGACACAAATAATAAGTGCCTCGTGCGCTGCATCGCGCATAGCCGCATAGAAGCGAATTTATCTGCAAAAACAGCGAACTAGTAGTATTTTTGACAAGAGAAAAAAAAAGAAGGAGAATAAGCACAAGAAGTTGAGAAAGCTCGACTCTGTGTGCCAGTTTGTGTGTGCCTGAATGTAGGATGGCACATATATTTGCCAATAACGCACACTAGTCGTCATGGCAACCAAATCGATCCCTATAATGGCCAACCCTGCTTGCGTATGCCGTTCCGACGCCGCCGCTGCCACTGCTGCTGCTGCTGCTGCCGCTGTTACTGCTACTGCTGTCCATGATACATGCACACACGTCGCTCTTGCACTACTTATTTCCTAGTTACAATATCATTTATCAGTAATGCTTGCACACAGAGAAACGACGATGTCGTGCACAGGCGCATCGATGTATACTCGCAAACGCGTCTGTCTGCCTCGTCCTTTGAACTTTCTTATGCCGAGCATAACGCGTATATAGCAGCAAAGCTCGGCCGAAATTCAAAATTATTCAATCCCTCTTTGTGCTGCATTGCGGGCAATTTTTTTTTTTCAAAAAGGAAGGAGGCGAAATCAGGGTCGGAATGGAAGTTTTTAAACGCATTTTAGAGATTTACTGCGCTGACGTGAAGATAAGTGAAACAAAGGAGGAGGGAGGATTTTATTAAGGGAACATTTCAGAAACTGCGTCAGAAAATTTTAATTCGTTAACCACTTTTGACATTTCATTTAAATAAAACATTCAACTCATTTCATTCTCTTCGTGTGTTATTTTTAAATTATTCGTTGAAAAGTTGTTACTTGTAAGTAAATTCAACAAATTTAGTTGGAAAACATAGACCTGTATAAAGAAAAAAAAGTACAAACGGAAAAGTCATATTTCAATCCAAGTCGGTTGAAAAAGTAGATTTATTATCTTAAGCATGTTTTCATGTGCCTAAAACATATATGGATTATGGCCTCAATGTTCAAATTCAAAATATATACTTTTCAACAGGGTAAAAAAGAAGTTCATCAAAGAAAATGATATTTAAAATTTACACTTTTCTTTTGAATTATGTAAAATATAAAGTAAAAAAAAGTTCAAAGCAGATTAATTCACAAATATACAAAAACTCGAACACGATTGCTTTGATTAAAATACGATTCATCATCAGGAAAATTTATAAATTACAAAGTATGGTTTTTTATTTGTCCTATTAATCTTCTCTTAGAGGCAATAAATGACTGCATTTCGCAAGGGAATCGATATTTTTTCATATAATTCAACTAAACCATTTCAAATAATTTTGTTTCAATCAACTGACATTCCGAAAATATTTACGCAAATTAGTCTCGTCCAAGAATAAAAGTTGAAAAATACAGGTTTTCCTTTGAAGAGATGTCCTATTAAATTTATTTGGAGCAGCGTACTGCAGTATCAAGTATATATGAGCGCGTCCAGCATAAGTCGGCCACCCCGCGCGATTACGGCATTTTTGGCCGAAAGTGTCGTATGTTTAGCTCGCTCGGAAACGTTTACCAAGGGTCAGAAAAAAAATCCAAACCCATGGATCGATAGATTTTTTCCTCCTCTTTCTAGTGGTGTAACTCAAAAAATTCTTAAAAATTGATTTTGAGGTTAAAACTCGACTTGAATGTTTAAGTTGAATTATCCAAAAAATGTATCCTCCGATTTCAATTTAAACCGCACCAATCGAAAGAGGAGGCAAAAATCTATCGAAAACCATGTTTTCCAGGATGGAGAAATGATAAGAACTATTAAAGATATTGAGAAGAATAGCGCGGGACGGCGCGCGCGGACCTGTTTTCCGTGCACCAGCGGCGGCACACGCGCGGCGCCGTGTCTTTGTCTTTTCGACTCGCTCGTAATCGCTTAAAAAATGCTGGAAAAATAATGTCAACACGTAATTCGATAGATTTTTTTCTCCTCTTTCTGATGGTGTTATTGAAAAAATTCCTAAAAAATTTTTTCATAGTCAAAACTTGACTTGAATTTTTAAGTCAATATTTCTTCTAGTATTTCAATTTTGACCTCAAAATTAACATTACCAATCGAAACAAGAGGAAAAAATCTATCGATTTACGTGTTTAAATCATTTTTTCAGCATTTTTTTAGCGAGTCGAAAAGACATAGGCAGGAAAACAGGTCCGCGCGCGCCACCCCGCGCTATTCATCTCGATATCTTTAATACTTCTTATCATTTCTCCATCCTGGAAAACATGGTTTTCGATAGATTTTTGCCTCTTCTTTCCATTGGTGCAGTTTATTTTGAAATCGGAAGATACATTTTTTGGATAAATCGACTTAAACATTCAAATCGAGTTTTAACCTCAAAATCAATTTTTAAGAATTTTTTGAGTTACACCACTAGAAAGAAGAGGAAAAAATCTATCGATCCATGAGTTTGGATTTTTTTTCTGACCCTTGGTAAACGTTTCCGAGCGAGCTAAACATACGACACTTTCGGCCAAAAATGCCGTAATCGCGCGGGGTGGCCGACTTATGCTGGACGCGCTCATATACTTTCGTTTCGCCCCAAATGAGCACACGACCCTATACACACATATAGATATAAACATCTAATATGTATGGTATGTGTATATATGTGTCCACGCGGCACGAGCATTTGTACGCTTTCGTAATATCCATATAATCCAGAGTATATAAATACGATAAAGCATCGAAAAACGATAAAATTTCGGAAACTAATGCACAACCCAAGTAGCTACTTGATGCTATCTCCATTTTCCGTTTGCATCATTTGTTTGGATCACGCGAATTTCTGCCTATAATTGAATTTATAATTAAATTAATGCATCTATCATAAAAATACCAAAGTTATAATAAATTGAAAAATTTTCAAACACACGAAAATATTTGTTTGGAAAGCTATGAGA